CGGCGAAAGAATGGGGGCATATCTAAGAAAGGTAAAAGAGGAGCTCGTTAAATACAAAAACTACGAGGTACTCCAGATCCCGCGAGCCGAAAATGCAAACGCAGATGCACTGGCAAAGCTGGCCTCGTCAAAAGATGCCGACACACTAGGCGTTGTCCCCATTGAAGAATTAGAACGACCAACCATCGAGGAGCGTGCCGAGGCATTTAGTGTCCCAGAGGGGGAAGATTGGATTACACCACTCATACGGTACCTAATGGACGCTCAGTTGCCGAATAGCAAAAACGAGGCTCGACGGATTAGGTATAGAGCCGCCCGGTACTTATTATACGATGGCCTGCTCTACCGACGAGGCTACTCAACACCTCTACAACGGTGCCTAGATGACGCCGAAGCCCAGAAGGTCCTCCAAGAAATACATGAAGGGATCTGTGGTAATCATTCCGGGGGACAATCTTTAGCGCTAAAGGTTTTGAGGCAAGGATACTACTGGCCCAAGCTAAAAAAGGATGCTTTCCAGTACGCCCGACGATACGATAAATGCCAAAGGTATGCCACGATTCCTAGGGCACCCCCGGAAAAGCTAACTTCCGTTCCCAGTCCATGGCCCTTCACGAAGTGGGGGATTGACCTGATCGGGCCATTACATCCTGCACCCGGAGGGTTGAAATTCGCGATCGCTGCGGTAGACTATTACACGAAGTGGGCAGAGGCCAAGGCCCTAACCACTACCACGGAAGCAGCCTGCACCAAATTCATGTGGGACCACATCGTATGCAGGTTTGGGGTTCCTCACTCAATAGTATCCGACAACGAAAAGCAATTCGACAACGCCGCGACACGCAGATTTTGTGACGGTTTGGGCATCCGAAAAGACTTCTCAGCACCAATCCATCCACAGTCAAATGGGCAAGTCGAGGCCATCAATAAAATTCTCAAGCATACCCTAAAGAAGAGACTCGATGACCTAAAAGGGAGATGGGCCGAGGAGCTTCCCAAGGTTTTATAGGCATATAGAACAACAAGCTGAACTACGACAGGAGAAACACCTTTCTCCATGGCATACGGCGTCGAGGCGGTACTCCCCGTAGAAATCGAAACGCCGACCCTAAGAACTGTTGTCCACAACGACGAGGATAACACAGAGGGCATGAACGGAGAACTCGATTTATTGGAAGAAAAGCGACTCAACTCCCAATTACGTCTCGCCGCTTATCAGCAACGGACGGCACGATATTATAATAAGAAAGTCCGGCAAAGAAGGTTCACCTCGGGGGACCTAGTATTAAAAAGGGTGACACAAAGCATAAAACCCAAGAATACTGGCCCCTTGGGCCCGACTTGGGAAGGACCCTATCGCATAAGGAGAGTACTACGACCTGGCACTTACGTATTAGAAAACCTCGACGGTAAAAAGGTTCAACACCCGTGGAATGCTGAGCAACTAAAGTTGTACTACCAATAATGTATGAAGTTATTATGCGTTTTTTATTGTACATTCTTTGCAAATATAGTAAATTGATATGCTTTCAGCGTGAGATAGATTGACCCCTTAATAACGTGTCTGCTTAAAAGAAAACCCAATGGTGTATTTACCAGACGCAGGGGGAATGAAGACGCTCGACGTCAAATCCTCCAAGGAGGAAAGACAAAACACTTAGTGAAATTCTAAGGAATTTCCTAAGACGACGACCCAAAGGGATAAACTCGACGTCAAATCCTCCAAGGAGGAAAGACAAAACACTTAGTGAAATTCTAAGGAATTTCCTAAGACGACGACCCAAAGGGATAAACTCGACGTCAAATCCTCCAAGGAGGAAAGACAAAACACTTAGTGAAATTCTAAGGAATTTCCTAAGACGACGACCCAAAGGGATAAGCTCGACGTCAAATCCTCCAAGGAGGAAAGACATAACACTTAGTGAAATTCTAAGGAATTTCCTAAGACGACGACCCAAAGGGATAAGCTCGGCATCAAATCCTCCAAGGAGAAAGATGGCACTTAGTAAATTCCAAGGAATTTTTGAAAGAGAAACAGGAAGGAAATCAATGATTATGAGTCAAGGTATTAACATAACCCATTGCCTTTATATATAGAAATACAGGTAACATAGAAATTGTCTGAAAGCAACACAAAAAAAAAAAATGGGGTGATAAAAAATAGTCCCTCAAGCATCGTCGCCACCATCCGCTGGCCCCTCGTCGCCACCACCCGCTGGCTCCTCGCCGCCACCAACGAAGGGAGCGTTCTCTTCATCGCCACCAGGAGGGGGCACTTCCTCGTCGCCAGCAGGAGAAGGTGAGTTATAGAGGAAGCCCAAGTCCCAATCAGGACGTTCCTTTTTTATCAGATCAACAATTTGCTGACCCGCCGACTGGAAATCATTATTGCGGATGTCAAAGAGCTCTTGAGAAGCCTTGAATTCCTCAATGATCTGCGCCCGTCTGGCGTTGAAGGTTGCCTCGGCCTCCATCTTCCCGTCGACCTTCCCCTCGGAATACCGATTCTTGGCATCCACGATCGCCCGGCCAGCTTCTTTTCAGATTGATCAGCCCGTCGAGTAAGCTTTGCCACTTCAGCCTTCAACTTGGTTACTTCGCTGTCCAGGCTGATCAGTTGGGCCTTCGCCAAATCCCTCTCCTCGATGGCATCATCCCTGCTATTCTTGGCCTCATCGATGAGTGACTGAAGCTTGGCCTCCAAATCGTCCATCTCATCCTTTCGCTCCTCGACCTTGATTAGGTTAAGGAGGTTAAGAAGGGAAAGGACGAGGCTCTGGGAAATGGCAAGAAATTTTTTAAAAAAAAAAATGTCTTACATGGATCTGAAAGGAGATTTGCTTGCGTTGGCGGTCGACTATGGAAGACTGGGATGCAGCGACCCAATGTGGCTCAAGGAACGACTCGTACAAGGCCTGGAAGACGAGGGAAAAGTGAGGGGAGAGTTTTAGCATCGCCCCGACCTCGGCGTCAGAAATATCCAAGACCTGGAAGTTCACGTCCGTAATCTTCCCCCCCGGGATCAATATGCGTTCTCTTGGTCCCGGGGGTGCACGAACATCAGGAATGGGCACTACTGGTGTCCAGGTCTTGTCAGTCGACGACTGGCTAGGGGCCGGCTCCTCAGTACGCCTCATCTTGTGCTTGCTCTTTTTTCCTTTCGGTGCAGGGCAGGAGGAGCCGGCCTTCTCCTTCCCCTTCGCCGAAGGCTGTTGGCCTGACGAGGGCCGCGAGACGGACGGCGGCTGTTGGCTCGACGCCTGTTGTTGGCTTGGCACCGGCTGTTGGCCCCCCGGAAGCTGGATTCTCAAAGATGCCATCTCTAGCAAGAAATAGAGGGTACCGTCAGCATTAGGAAAACACGATTCTTAATTCAACAAGACGTCGAGAGAAGTTATTACCCTCGTCGCTTAAATGGAAATACGAACGAACGGCGTCGAGATCTGAAGGGTTTGGAAGGTCGAGAATTAGGCCCGCAGTACGAAGGTTCTCCTTGGTCAAGAGCGTGTCGATGTGGTGAACCTCCGACGAGCAGGAAAAAGCTTCCTCGATCCTCGCCAAGCTGTTTCCAGAAAACTTTGGCCGATCCTGGTTAACTGCAAAACAGAGGACTCCTCGTCAACATGTGAAAAGAGGGATCAGGTCAGATAAAGAGAGAATTGAGGGGCTTACTCATGTTTCCAAACGCCGCCTGCACCTGCCTTTGGCGGGGCTGGCGGTCGTTGGGATCTTCGGCGGGGCCGGCGGTCGTTGGGATGGATATTAAAGGGCCCACGAATCATGAAAAACATGGGCTTCCACCCATGTGACGACGAGGGGATGCCCAGGATAAGCTTTCCAAACCTAGGCTGAGCCCTCCCATGGCCACTCAGAAAGTACCACCTATCGCACTTGGCGACGTGGCACAACTTGTACATGAATCGGAACTCGTCCAGTGGGAGTTCCATGTCGAACTTCTAGTTCCATAGAATCCAGGCTCCCACAAAGCAGTACCAGAAGTTCAGCGCCAATTGGGCAGGAGAGATGTCGTAAAAGTGGCAATAATCTTTTACGAAGGGATGAATTGGGAGAGTCATCCCTGCAGTTACCGCTCTTGTATAGACCGGAAGGTATCCGGTCGGCGGCATACTGGTCCTAAAATGCTTGTCCGGGAGGAGGTACTCGAACCACCTCCCGTCAATACATCCCTCATTCACAGCCTGAATGATATCCTTATTTTGAACTTTCGACGCCACATCATCGGCTGTAAAGGAGGGCCTATCTGGGTCTCCGCTCGTGGAAGCCAGGGGGGCATCCACCGTCGCAGCGGTTACTCCGCTTACGCTCCCCCCCGTGAAAGGGATCCGCTCGACCACTTCGTCTATCAGTCGGTCGACGCTACCGAATTCACTGCCGAGATCGTCGCTCGGCTCAAAACTTCCCTCGACATCCTCGATGTCCCTAAGTACAGAGCTGACACCGGAAGACGAAGAGGTCCATGAGATCTCTACCACCGAAGGAGGGTCAGAACGGACGACCGAAAGAGAATCCTCTCGACTGGGTGAACTTTGGGCCATTGTTCTGGTAAAAACAAGGACAAAAAGCTAAGTTAAAACCCTAACGTCGAGAGGAATAAACGGCGACTACTCTAAACGACGACTGGTTAACGTCGACCATTCATACGCGAATGGTAACGACGAGTGTTCATAGGAACCGCGGGTTCCCCAGAACCCAGAAACCAAAGACAAACAGACAAAAAATGCGCACATATAAAAGCCAGGTCATCCAGTACGACGGAATACAACAAAGTAAAGTCTCTTTAACTAAATGTTTATTCTCATTTTCTGCATATATGTTTACGTATTCCTGGTACTCAACGGGGGAAACCCCGTGAGTACGCAAATAGAGGAAGGATCCAAGAACTTACCGGTGAAGAAGTGAACCCGGGACGATTTCGTAGTGTACCCCGGAGAATGGGAAGGATGAAGGCGGAAGTTCAGCAAGCAGGGTTCCGGTGAAAGTACGGATGTCCCGGCAAAACAGCGGCAAAAAGTTTTTTGAAGTTTCGAAGAAGGAAAAAATGATCCTCGGGTCCATGGAGGGTATTTAAAGAGTCGGGAATGGAGGCCCCCAACCGTCGGATGAAGACCCCAAAAGACCAACGGCTAGGGATCACTCTCCGTATCTGACGGTAAGAGGAAGGGCGGAAAATTGAAAAGACGCGGATCCGATGGCCTATATTCGTTTTCTTGAAACACGGATACTCATCATTATGCCAAATCAACTGACGCGACGGTTATGCACCCAAAGCACCCAGGCCATCATTGCGGACGGAGGTTCAGGACCAATTTCCCACACCCGAAGCACGGAAAGGACAAACCGAACCTAGAGCTCGAGGCCGCCTAAAAAAGGAGCCCTCGACCTGGGGGGTGGCTGTTGTGTGGGAAAATGTGATGGACACCTGGACCAACGGTGCCACGACACGTGACTATATTTACTTTCCGCCGAGCGTCCAACCCTCGACGCTTCGTTTCCCTCAAGATCAGCTATCGAACCCGAAGATGAAGTCCATAATTAGGGCGACGACCCCGTTAGGCGTCGAGGGTTGATTTCGCCTGGGTCGACACGACAAGATCCCTCGATTGCAGAAGAGATCACTAGAGGGGGCGAGAAAGGTTTAAACAACCACTGACGACGAGGGGAACATCCCTTTCCGACGTGATAGGTTACATGCAGAGGTAAGAGAAGTCTGACAACATTAATTGCAAGTTTACAAACCGCCTCCCCCAGGGGACATAAAAGCATTACGGAGAGTTACAGAGCCGTAATAGAAGACTAATTGGTTGAGTGAACAGTACTAATTAGTGGGCTATGTCTGGGCCTAGAGAGGGAGAACACTTGAGTGTTCCTACCTACGAAGGAAACCCACCCAGTGAAGGAAGCCCGAATATAAAAGAAGAAGGACCCCAATAGGAAAGGGGTCCGAAAACTTCAAAAGAAAAAAGAAAGAGAGATGATATTCAGTGTAAACTCAGATTTCCACAAAAAGTAATATAGTATATACAGTGGATGTAACTCTAATTTCGTAGAGTGAACCACTATAAAATTCTTCTTGTTCATTTGCATACAGGGCATTCAAACACAAAAATACTTAAATTCAACCTGAATCCACACCTTCATAAAACCCACAAACCGGTAATCTAAAGGGGAACCCCAAGATATTCCGGCGGGTTTATTGTTGACGAAATCCAACCGTCAACAATGTCCATGCTAATCGGTTGACTAGATGCCAAGATGATCAACTGATCAGTGCCGGATCAACTCCTACTTGATAGTTGATATGAATTAGACGGACGGGGTATTTAGAGCCGTTTTTTATAAAGTAATGGACGTTTTGAATGGTTTTGAAAACTTAAGGGGTACTTTAAATAAGGTACATACTTTTAGGGTATATGAATAATGAAATTAATCCAAATTTAAACTAGTCTTCGGTCTAAAAATGTAATATGCCAAAATCTATGGCCACACCAAAATATTAGGAGAGAGACGGAATTTGTTCTTCAGTTTTCTTGGACGACTGTTTCCACTGTGTCCCAGTCAAAAGAACTGTTATTTGTTGGTCCTATTATGGAGAGGAGTGGGCACTTTCAGCGTCGAAACCCTTCCCATTCTTCACCTTCATCTTCGTCTTCAACCTCTTACCGCCAATCTGCTCATTCCCGATCGAACCGATTCGCCAAATCTGCTCCCAATTCCGTCGGAAGAAGAATCTCCGGCCACCAAGAACCAGAAGCTGCCAAAAATGAGCCTTCCGATCCACCCGCCATTGCCGGAACTTGCCCTTTCATGTGTCCAGGTGCGATTCCGTTGTCGCCAATGTACTACAACCCTAAATTCCGTTACTTTCAGTTATTTTTTTGTTGATTTGCGAATGTGTGATGCAGAGGAAGAAAGGGCACAGAGAGAGCGGCTTCGAGATTTGGCTGTCTTCGAGAGGCTTAACGGAAACCCGTCTCTGTCGTCTCCGAGCCTGGCCGTCAAAAAGGTAATCTTTGAGCCCTGAATTTTGACAATTGCGGCAGGATGTTAATATGTACTGAGTTAGTTAGAGGAGTTAGTTTTTTGTTAGAGTAGAGTAACTGTAAACGATTAGCTTTGCTGAGGAATTATAAGCTCATTATCAATCAATGAGATATTAATAGTGCACAAACCATCTCTATGGATTTTCTGTTTTGTCTTAAACTTAATCTTTGGATAACCATGCTAGTCTGTCACAAGTTAAAATGGTCATTAGACTTATTACTAAATAGATGTGCTGTTACAAGTTTCGATTTTAGTGCTGCACTAATTAGTGGGTGGATTTACTGGATAATGAGATTTGTGCTTGTTTTGTGAGAGGGATTGTGTGTGTGTCCCTGCAAGATTAGCAGGATTATGGAAGGAAGGGAAACAATGGAGTCTAAAATCTATTAATATTGCTATTTAACTAAATTAATTTTATAATATTTAAAGACCATGATGAGTAAAATTGTAATTGCACGTGCAATATTCTCTATATCAAACAAGGGGGATGTTCTTTCTCCTTTTTTTTTTTTTTAATTTTTTTGACACCTTCCGAGGTTACCAGACTTAGTTAAAGAAACGCCTTTCCTTTTCCTTCCATTTTTTTTAACCCAAGTTCTAATCTCTTCCCTTCCTGTTTTCTACGTTTTCCTATCAAACCTATGGCAGTGGCCCATTTGGTTCATAGTTTTGAATAGAAAGTTTAAATAGAAATTCAAATTTCTAGAAAATATTATAGTAAAAAGGTTTGAATTGTGGTTCAAACTGCAAAAACAAACAGGTTCTAAGTAGATATCGTACAGAGAGAGTTTACTTCAAACATTCATTTTTGGGATGGAATGTCATGTTGGGAATCTTTCTTACTTACTAAGTTCTACGGTTAGAGTGACCATTTTTATTATAGAAGAAAATGTTCATCTTTAATGCAATTATCGTTTGCCCTGGACAGTTCTGCAGAACTATAACTTCAAAGCAAGTGCGTGCATCAGATGTTCGGCCTCTCCCCATATTAGAAGACACTTTAACCTACCTATTAAATTTGTTGCATTCTGCAAAACATCCCTTTGAAGTTATTCAAGACTTCATCTTTGATAGGACAAGATCCATAAGGCAAGATCTTACCATGCAACATATTGTCAACGATAGAGCTATTCGCATGTATCAGAAAATGGTATGTTATCCTTGAAGAAACTTTTCAATTCAATGCCTTAATCAGACCCTCCTAGTTAATGTTGATACTCCTATTCCAGTTAGATGTTTCTTGTTGACTTAGTTCTTACTGTGAAAACCAGAGGAGAAGGCAGACTGTGCAGTTTAAGTCATTGGCTCATTATTATGTAGTTTTTTTTTTTTTTCCTTTGTTTAATGTTGTCAATTCTTAAATTCAAGCTTACTCGAATTCATGTAGAAACCTAGTCACTTACATATGATCATCCCATCTAATGGCAATGGAGTCCTTCGGCAATTATGCAAGTTTTGTACTTTTAAAGTTCTACCCTGGTACTTCTGCTTACGTACTAAAATCATACGACTATTTCTTTTGAGCTCTAACCCTTCGGATCTTGGAGATGCTTCATTAATGTATATGTCTTTGTACAGGTTAAATTTCACGTCATATCTCATTACAAGCTTCGGAATCATAGTAGCTTTCAAGATGCTTCTTCACTACACTATCTCAACCTGGAGCAGCTTACTAAGTCTCTGACATCCCTGTTTGATCTGTATGAAGTAAATCGAAGTTCCAATTCTGCTTGTGAAAATGAAGCTGAATTCCGTTCTTTTTATGTGTTGCTTCATCTTGGTTCGAACAGCCAACTGATGGTTGATCTACATTTTTTTACCATATTAGTGCAGTTTAATTTCGAAGGGGCATCTTTTGCTAAGTCTTAACAACATGAAATGTAGCTATTTCTGATTCACAGGGGGAGTCATTATCTCTGTGGTTTCGTCATGTGCCTTCTTCAATTATGAGGTCCAAGGAAATGTGCTTTGCCCGAGAGCTTTTAAGGTACTTAAGAATATTGAAGATTCCACTTTCTTATGCACTTGTTAGCTTATTTATAGTCGGGATGACAATTTTGTTATCTTTTTTTTTTTTTTCAATTTATTTTCCCACTATACAATACGTGAGAACAAGTTTCTTAGATGTTGAATTTTGCCTCGTTCCGGTAACAGATTTTTTAGGTTTGGCAATTACAAGCGTTTCTTAAATGCTGTAGCAGCTGAGGCGTCCTGCCTTCAATACTGTATTATTGAACCTTATGTTAACGAGGTAATCATATACACTCACTTTCAATATTGACCTATTTATTCATCACTTTGGTAGCGAGCTTGAACTTTTATATGATAACTGCTCAACTTGCTGGCTAGTGTTGCAGAATATTTATTCAACAATTCAGCTATGGTTTACATGGATCTTAGTTTTTTTCCCTGGTCATAAATTTCATGCATTGTTCATTTATCTGTTGATCTTGATTGTACCTCTCTCTCACCCTGAACATCTTGGTTATAGTGTCACGCCCCCCAAACGGGGTGGGTAACGTGGAGCTCGATTAGGGGTTAATAAAACAGACTCCCAACCGGGCCCCACACTTGACTGCATTAAAATATAAATAAATTACTACAGAATCCCGGAGCCTCTGACACACAGGGCTCCACCCCACAGGACATACAGTATCGTACATACATGCTCATGTAAATAATCATTACAACAGACATCAACCACAGTCTAGTAAATCCAAATATTACATAAGTTTACAGAATTTCTCAAATTCCTTACATTTGTCTAAGAGGATGTCCACGATCCTCACTTGATTCCAACAGCAGCACAACTCAGCTGCTCCATAGCAATTATCCAGCTACAGTGCCCCGCTCCTAGAGTCTACTGGGAGGAGTTCAATATATTTGAAACATAAAACGTGAGCGAAAGGCCCAGTAGGATATAATTTGAAATAAACGTTACAATAAATGAATAATAAGTGAGCAAGGAAGTAAATAAATGAATAAGTAAATAAAATAAGACATTCAGTTCCAACAGACAGCCGGAACCTCACATCCTTTTTCTCAAAGGAAATATAACTGAAAATAGTCATTTTACAGGCTTCAGCAAGTAATTAGTACAAATTACTTACCTAACCAAGTGCCTCGTCTACCCAGACTGAGTTTCGGGTTCTGCCCCCGAGGATGCACTCTCCGCATCCTATCTAGGCTTACAGCAATAGACTCTATTACCAGTTCACAAGATCTCTTTGCTTAAGAAATCATTCATTAACATTTTGAAATCGTTAATACGACCCCATGAACTACTCAAGCCGCGGGCCCCATGACTGGACAAGCCATGAGATTCCATGACTAAACAAGCCATGGTTTTCAAAATGTTTTCTTTCACAAATCAATCCCTTTCTTTAAACATTTTCAATGCCAAAATCCTTTTAAAAACGGGCTCACAAGGAAAAGGGATAGAAATCCTACCTCACACTATCAAACCTGGGACTAGCATTGCCTTTTTCGGCTTCCGCTTGCTCAAGCCCCTTCAGTCTGAATCCTCAGCGATCACTGATGCAAGACAACACTTTAGGATTAATTCTCATTCCTAAAGCAATCCAAATCTCAATTTCCAACCAAGATTTCCTATTAGTGTGCCCTAATCCATTTTCATGTTTCAAAATATCATTCCAAGGGTTTTCAATATCAAAACAATGATTAAAAATGCTAATCCATTCATCTCAAGCCCTCAAATGAAGCTAATTTGGGTTCTCCCCGAAAACATGGGTCAAAACAGCAATTTCAGGTCAAACAGGGTCAAACCCCATGTCAACCGGTCGGCTGGTGACAGAGCAGTGCAACACTACCAGTTGACCGGCAGTGTGCACACCGGTCGACCGGACCGGTCGACCAGTCAGCCTGCAATCCGGTCGACCGCATAGGTTGACTGGTTTTCATGTGATCCGGTCGACCGCACAGGTCGACCGGTGGAATCAGCTGCGCGAGAGAAGCTCGCGAAAATCAGTCCAAAACCTGCAAATTCAGTCTCAAATCGAGATATTTCAAAGGAAAATCACTAGATCTGGGTTCTAGGTCCTAAAACAAGTCCAAAGAACCCAAGATCTCTAATTTCTACTCTAGTTTTACTCAAAAACCATCAAAATCCGGTTTGAACCAAAAATAAATTTTGAAATTCAAAAACTTGAGATTCAAGAGAGGTTCTTTTAGTAATCTTACCTCGAATCATTCTCTTGACGTTAAAAACTTCATTAAATCTTTCATTGGTTCAAGATCCGTTTGATTTGGGACAAAAATGAGAGAGAGAGAGAGAGAGAGTGAGAGAGAGCACGGGAGAGTGAGAGAGAGAGTGAGGGAGAGAGACGCACGGGAAAGGAAGAGAAAAGAAAGGAAAAGGAAAAAGGAAAAAGAAAAGGAAAGGAAAAGAAAATGACATGTGTACAATATTTTAAAAGAACAGTTCAGAAATGCGCCCATATACACTTCGGGATTAAAATAAATTACTGAAAATAATTTAAATACCTTGGAACTATTTAAACTCACACGTGTCAGAAACATTTATTAATTAAACTCAATTAATAATTCAGATTAGATACACTAATAATTTCAATTATCTTAATTAATCCTAATTAATTTTTCAGAGTGTTACATATAGCTATTAATTTTTTGAGGTTGCTTACTTGCTCTTGATTTCCTCTCTCTAGTAAGCATCTGAACTTATTTACTGGTGATTTCTTTTTGTGATGATTACAAAAGGTCCGAGCATTGGCTCTCGCCTTTATTAATAATGGTGGGTACAAGCTTCATCCATACCCTCTAGCGCACCTTTCGAATCTATTGATGATGAAGGTGATTCCACTGATTTGAACTTACTCTTTTCTGTTGATTATATTCAATAGTTCTTTTAAGTGTTTGTAATTTTGTGAATCTAGGTATCAGAGGTGGAATCATTTTGCAATGCTTGCGGTTTGGAGACTTGCACAGATGAAGAGGGAAATAAGTTGTTACCGATGAAGCAAACTACCTTTTGTCGTCCCAAGGGAGGGTTTATGCGCTACGGCCTTATGGGGTTAGACCAATTTGAGGATCAACTTTTAAATTGTGCTGCAGGAGAAGGAGAATGATAGTTATGTGGTCGCCTGTACTTTTCGGAACTCTAAGAGGACATTTGGTTCATGAATTTAGAACTATGATTCATAATTATTCTCGATTTATGTGTGTTTTTTATGAGAGAAAATATTATAATAAATTACAAATCATGATCCGAATCATGACACAAATCCTTACTCTAAACGCACTCTAAGAGCATTCATGTCCACCTGAATCAACTAATGGTTGGAGCCGTCTCTAAAAGAAAATGTTATTATCCCAACCAACCCGAGTCCGGATGTTACACACGGTTGAAGCTACCCTATGTCTAATCCCGACTCAACCCGTCATGGAATGTAAAATTAATTTGGTAATAAATTATATAACGGGAATTTTTTATAGAACTGTAATGGAAGAAGGGTAATTAACGGGTTTGGAAAGGAAACAATTTAAGAATATGGATTGTTGATTTATATCTTTGATTTTTGTGTTTATTTACCTATCAGAATTTAGGAACTAGGATCGGAAAATTCAATTTTCTTTTTAGTGTTTAATATGACTTATTAAAATGTACTTATCACAACTAATAATTATTGAGTCGATATGAGCACACGAGTACATTTGAGATAAACATTTCCTTTTCTTGATTTCTATATCGTGGGATCCTACTAAATTACCATTCTTGATTTTATCAGTAAATGCAAGAATAGGGCTCCACCGTAGATGATTTTTTTTTTTTTTTCCACCTATGTGAAGTTTTTTATACAAGGCCCCTGGTGAAAATTTTCTCAAGGATTGAATTTCAAACCACGAGCAATTTCAGAACCATTAAATGCTCTAGACGATTTTTTTTTCGCTTGCAAAATGCTATTCGGTATCTCATGATTGAAAGGAAATCTCTCTGCAAAAGAAATCACCATTGAGCGGCAGAGAATGTTAGTTTTCCATCTAATTCATGATTGTAGACGGTCCTCGCCTATGAATATGGTTTGTATTTTTATCTATTCTCAAAACTCACATCACAGAACAATAATTTTTTATTCTCACGTTGTTCAAATGCTTATTGAATGTGTTCTTTTCATTATCTGTAAGGTCTCATTCACTTTGCGAATTCGAGTTTTTAATTCGAACTGAGATGTAACATTTTGTAAGAACTTTTTACTATAGTAGAAAAAGTTAGATGTGACATTTTCTGAAAGCTTTTTACTGTAAAAATCTAAGACTGAAAACTCAAATCGGTAAAATGAACGAGACCTTAAAGTTGTTGCGTATCACATTTAGCCTTGGCATGCAATTACAACTTAAATATTTCATATTGTACATACATAATTCAGAGTGAAAAAAAAAGAACATAAAAAGGTCATCCTATATGAACTGTTTCCCTTATTCTCATTAGCAATTACCGAGTTCAGGTTAAGATATTTCCAACAGTTTGACATTTTGACGTCCCTTTATTTATCTTTGGTACAATCGCTATTTTCAGGCATTCCAGTTGTTTGTTTGCCATTTGATTTTCGAAGACACCGTCACAGAAAATTGATTTTCCCTCATTTTCTCGCATAAGCAAGGAGAAACAACAGAGCTTTAAGCCCAAAGCAAAGTTACAAAGAAAAATAACAAGATTGCCAATCCCAAACAAAAGGCGACGATCGCCATGAATGCCTGGAAACAGGTAAAACAAGTCAGAAACTCGTAACGAATCGAATTTGAGAAAACTAGTTGAAAGTTTCTCTAGCTACCTTTCCCTGAGACTCGAATTTATATTTGACAGTGAACCATGATAATCCTCTGTCTACGAAAGGCGCAAGCGCAAGGGCCCTGCATAAGGTGCATCTTTAGAGAATCAGAAAGTTGTTGTGTGTGGTACACCTACAAAGGCTATGCAAATGCAAATGGTAAACTAACGGAACATCAGTTTGATAGTTTAGTAGTTTGACACTATCAACATAAATAAAAGATATGGAACTCATGATACAAAATAGCAAGTCTATTTGGACTGAATGCTCAAATAACCGATTATTTTTCTAATACTGCAGCAGTATAATTTACAAAGCACGAGAGCCGGGATGGAGTATATTCTGACAATTTTGAATATAGAATTCACAACCAGATTTAAAAGTTCAACTAATAAAACAAGGAATTACTGAATCTGATAAACAAGCTAAACTCTAGGATAAAAAGAATTGAATTTGAAAAAATTCAGCACAAAAGAAATAAATAAATAAATAAAGAAGGAAAAAAAAAAAAAAAGCAAAGAAAACCTCACCCTCCAGCCCTCGCAATCTTTGTAACTTGGCTTCCAGCCCACACCATGGCCATTATTTTAAGAAACCTGCCAACAGGCAAAATTTTCAATATGATTTAAACATCTGAGGATATTCAAACATGAATTCCTACCTTTCAACTGCAGCAAGATAACCCATCTTCCCAGGTGCTGGAGCAACATAAAACCTATAGGTGAAGAAATTCATGAGCTTAATAACTGTAACAACTGATGCTGAGCGGGTTATGATTTATGAAGACTAAAGCCCCGTTCGTTTCGTTAATTCGAATTACAACTCAAATTTTTGCTATAATATTTTCTCTCACAAAAATTCAAATTTAACTTTTTCTACTACAAGGTTTTCTCTCATATGAATTCACTTTTTAACTCAAGTTCTTAACTCAAACAAGCAAAACAAACGATGTCTAAATAAGCAGAAGGATAATGATGGTTAGAAAGCAACATATTTGAAAGCAGACGGTTACTACATAATTCTTAATCGCTACCAGCCACATGCAAAGCTGAATTCCATTTTTGTTGTTGTAAAATCATACTTAACAACATCATATGAAATCCAATTTCATTTTTTCATTGCTTTCTTCCTCTTCATGTAAGTACCATGAAGTTGCTATATGTGTTATAATTGGACAAATAAACAAGGGATCTTCTACCTAAAATATCAAACAGCGCTCCTAGTAGGTTTAATTATCCTTTAAAAAAATTTATTTAAGAACAACAGAGAGAGGACGAAACTAGCAAAGTGATAACTGCCCATCACAAAAGACTGACATTTCACAATTAGTTAACATCCATCATCAGGTATTAAACACTACTTTTAAACAACGATTTTAAGAAGCATTTTAGAACTCAAATTCCAGACAATAAGTTGTATTTTGATGTGACAAACTTTTTAATGCGTCCTTAAGGCAAGAATTCAACAATACGGACATACTTCACTTACCACACCAAGAGAAATGTTGTGAGATAGTAGACAGTATTTAGTAGCCCATAGGATAACAATCCAGCAATCCCATATCTCCTCAATTTTTCAACCAACCTGACAAGTGGATTAAGCATGAATGAGATAGAACAACCTCAGTATAAATAAGAACACAACTACACATCTTAAAAACTATGGATGCACCATCCTTTCCTACTAAAAAGCAGACTGTCACCAGCAAATACGGAGACATTTTAGTAGCAGAGAATTCAGAGCTCCGTGAAAAGAAAAGAAGAAGAACAATAAAAACAACTGTGGCTACACAAGGACTCTCCCCAAACCTCGAGAACTAAAAAATAGCGTAAGACGGATACTAAAATTTCAAAATATAGAGAAGTAGGCTGCAAATATACCCACCAAAAAAAAAAAGACGCACTTGCTACATCTTTCTCGAAATTCTATCTACCAAACAAACGCGTTTCCAAATTCCAGTTAACAAAATTTACTAGCTCATATGAATAAAACCTAAAACTCAGCTCCACTGAAAAAAAGGATTTGGATATTCATTCAAAGCTTTCCAATTACTATCTTTCACTAATTTTCTACAAATTAGCAACAAAAATATAGATTGTGACACACTGATATAGTAGGTCTTAAATCTTCAATATCAGAAGCTCTACATATAAACTACAGGATCACGTTTTAATAAATAAACATGATGAACGAGTTGATCGTATTTTCTATACGAAACAAGGAAATTCTAATAATCAGCAACATGAGTTGATCATGTTATTACATTAAAACTAGAGAATTTTGCAAAGTTTATTCAAAATATAGTATTGAAACAAATTACCCCATTTACCTTTAAAACACTTCTACGAAGGCACATATCTCATAATGTTAGAAAAGGCAAAACTTTGAACCAATTTGCCTTGTAGCCAATCCCATAATATAAATGGAGATCATAGGGTTCAAGATTGACAAATGAACAAACTCACCCTCATCACCTCACTAACAAAAATCAGTAGCCTCTAATATTCACCAATGACATTGTAAGGCAAATAGAAAGTACTCTTTGGATTTGGGCAATACACCTTGACCACCAGCACTCTTTTCCACCGGATCTAAAGCAAAAAAAAAAAAAAAAATGCAAAGCTGGGTTTATTTAGTTGTTTATTCAATTAGTTTTTGCAAATTTCAAAATTTGAAGAATGAAATGCAATGGGAAAAAAAAAAAAACAAAACAGAAAGTACATTTAACATATCCTATTCTCAATTATTTAGTTGGCACTATCGCCTACCTTCATCTTGAGGGGAGCAACTTTTAGCATCTGAAAAACCATGAACCTAACCTCACACCATAAGCAAGTTAATCAACAAGGAAAGAACAAAAATAACCATAACAATAATAATAATAATAAAATTTCATCCATAATTGTTAATTTGTAAATATGGGGCTTAAAACCAAGTACTATGATGATAGACCTAAAAACAAAGTTTTAAAGTTGATATAAAGCTCAATGGTCAGTTACAATTGTAGCTCCACCAAGTGCTCAAAATTCATTCACCAATATGAGGATACAATTGTCAGTAAATCCAACTAATACCGAATTGGAAGGATTGTACCATTTATACACTTGGGCTTCCATTCTTCCCAATGAATAGTAGTATATTTTAACCTTTTGGAGTGAGTTTAGTATATATTATGTAATTGTCAGAAAAACATTAGTAATATCCAAAAGAGGAGCCTCTCATACTTGTCATGAAGATATGCACCAAATATAATAGTGCAAGCTTTGATCCATAGACTTGACCAAGCAAAACCGCCCAAAAGGTTCAATTAAAAACTGATATACACTATTCAATTTCTCTTACTTTATGGTCAGTATAAACACAAACACACACCCCCAAAAAAAAAAAAAAACCACTTTATTCGTATAAAAACTAAGAAACTAAAAAGACCCATTAACATCTGATAATTAATAATCCAATCTTCCAAAGTTTATTTATGGTCTATACGTATGTATATTTGAAAAAGTATAGCTTTTCTCTGAAAACGTGTCCGCTGGGAGAAGAACATGCTTAACTCACTAATCGCAGAAATTACAACAAACTCACATCAATGTGGTCGCCGTTGACTGAGAAGAAGCGCCGAAATTGGCTATGATTCAACGACGAAATCTTCGGTTTCAATGATCGAAACTGGAAGGAAAGGCCAGAAGCTCTGAGGAGGAAGAAGCTTTTGTTGTTATCCTGAAACCCAACAACAAACAGAATGTATATACATTTATATACGTATATATATGTATATATATAGAGAAAAGGGCAAAAACTTGAGAGAAATGAGGAATTGGGGACTAGGGAAGTTTACCAGATGAGAAGAAGAAGAACAAGGTAGACCCGCAAGATTAAGAGAAATGGACATTTTTGAGGAGGAGGAGAAGAGTACCAACTACTCGCAGTTAGATAAACATGTCGTCTGTACTTAGAGCGACAGATTGACTTCTTGTCGTGTCTTTGATTTGTTACTGTTAAACGACTTGTCGTATTAAGGAGCTGGAGCTTAAAATAAATGTTAGGGACGCTGTGAATCCTTTTATCATTTTCTATATTTATTTATTGACGCTTAAATTTTATTATCTAATTTTTTATTTAAATAATAATATATTATGCTATTTGAGTATACATATTAATGTCTCGTTCACTTTACGAATTCGAGTTTTCAATTTGAGTTGAGATGTAATATTTTCTGAGAACTTTTCACTGTAGCAGAAAAAGTTAGATATGACATTTTCTGAGAGCTTTTTACTATATAAACCTAAAACTGAAAATTCAAATCGGTGAAATGAACGATGCCTAAATAATTTATTGTTTAACGTGTAAATTTTACTATTTTTATTTTTTATTTAAATATTAATATATCATGCTATTTGAGTTTATATGTTAAACAATAAATATAAAAAATGACAAAAAAGTGATGTTGACATTTTTAAATCATTTTTATATGAAACAATACTCAAAACGTTATGTTTTGCGCCATAAAAAAGTACATTGTTGCCCAAGCATCACTTTTGCTTCTCTTAGTAAAAAAATACCTAATGTATCTCATATATTACAAAGAATAATGTTAAAGACACCGATTCAAATCATATCTTTATGAGTTGTCACTTACAGTTTGGTGGGTATTTAAAATATTAACACATCAGTTAATGATAAGAGATTTATTAATAAAAAAATTAGAATTTACATATCACATTAATTGCTACACAATAATTAAAATTTGAATTAGTGTCTCTAACATTACTCATAGATTGAGAAAAATATTTAGATTACTCTTTCCAATTTAAATTAAATATTATTTTAAATATGATTTAACTTAAAAATTAAATAAAAGATTTTAAAACGTTCAAATAAATAATTCAATTATTTTGAGAATTTTATTAATTTTTTAAGATTGATATATTTAATATTTTGATGTAATAATATTTTAAATGAGATTTAATTTAGGTTATAAGGGGTAATTTTAGTATATTAAAAATTTTATTGTTTTAGAGGGTATTTTAGACTAATTTTATATATAGAGGGAATGCTTTTGACATTTGAACTTTATTATCATTTTCACTTTACTTCCAAAATTCTTAAAAGTCTTTTGCAAAATTTAAATTAATCTTATTTAACTCCTCTATTAATATTTTGTGGAAAAACAATGACTTCCCTTAACCACCTTTTTTCAGTCTTAAAAAAAACGTAATAAGGAACTTTAAGTGCGATTATTCAAAATTTAAAAGATAAAATGAAAATTTTAAAAATATAAGAGGCAAAATAAAAATGCACCATAGACGAAAGGGTATAGGTGAAAATAACTCTAATAAAAAATTACAATAATAAAAATAAAAATAAAATTCAAAAATATATTATAGGTACGTAAAATAAAGAACATCTCTCGGCCTTCGTTTCTGTTCATCTTGAAAAGAAACAAAGATAAACCCTAGAGATTCTACCAAACAGACAAACCCTAGAGCTCATCAGTCGCACCCAGCCGTCTACCTTCAGTCCAGACCCACCCACCGGCAGTCCGGCACCGCCGCTTCTTCTTCTTCTTCATTCTTCTCCGCCCCATTCTCTCTGGACTCTCCACTCTCTCCGTCTGATTCGACCTTGGGGAGGCAGGGGAACAAATTCGGTCCCTATTCTTCTCATTCTTCGTCAAAATCGGCCTTGGGGAACAGATTTGGTCTTGTTCTTCGACAGGTATTTCCCCTGTCCATAACCTAAATCGGTTCAGTTCCTTTTTTTTTATCAATCTGTAATTTGTATGCTTTGTATTTTACTTCTTGGGGTTTAGAGATAGCCGGAGAACTAGTGGGACAAGGCAGTGAAGTCTTAAAGCGTTGGTTTCCAGCCGGTAGAGGTACATCGGAGTGAAGCGAAGGAGACTAATTTTTACCTGATCTGTTCTTGGCCGGTGAGTTCATAATTATTAGACATATTAATGTTAATTAGTTGGTGACAATACCTGCCAATTCTTCTGTCGTGTGTGTGTGTGTGTATGTGGTACTTGGACATTGAGAATTTCTTCAGTAACAAAAAAGAACCGATAACAATAACAACAACAACAATACCTGACTCAGTTGTTCATGTATATTTGGCCGGAATCTGTCTCAAAAACTGGTGCCTAGAGTATGTCATAACATAATACCAATAACAACAACAACAACAACAAACAATGTCTGACTCAGTTGTTCATGTATATTTGGCCGGAATCTGTCTCAAAAACTGGTGCCTAGAGTATGTCATAACATAAGCCCATAACCCATTGTTTGTTAACTCCTTTTTTATCCCTTTAATTTGTGTTTGTTATTTCTCTTACCGTCCTGAAATGTTTTCTTCAAAGCGGAAGGAGGATTGATGGGCAGATTTTTTAGAGGCAAACTTGTTTATTACACTATTTTTGTAATCTGTATACTTCCTATGATGTTTCTCAACTTGTAACAAATTGAAAGAAAATGATGGATTTGAAGGAACGTTTGATTGAAATTTAATGTTTTAATACAATATTTGTTTTAATTTTTTTCCCCTTTAATTCATGCAAAAATAGAAATGTATGAAGGCTCATGTTTGTGTTAAAGCGAAAGTGTTTAATTTGCTGCTTGTTCTTGGTACGTTGAATACTCGTGATTTATTGCAGCATGAAAGACCATTTTTGTCCATGTCTCCAAGCTGGTGTTATCTTTGTAGGGGCGTTTCAGAATCTATTCAACATTTTTTTTTCACCATGTTATTCTCTAATTGTCTGTCGCTGATACTACTACAAGATTTTTGGCCTGAGCTGGGTGGCGCCTTTGAATTTTGAGTTGCTATATGGCTGTTTGAGGACGAAGATCTTCTAATTTCAATAAGTGAGGACATGTTTGGTTAGGGAGTGGAATCTTTTTCTGTAGTCTATTTTCCTTTTGTTTTAGCTAGAAGACTTCCCGTCCTCTTTCTTGTTGTTCTTCTTTGTACATCATGATTTTTAACTTCTAATGATGTGACTCCCCCGCTGCAGCAAATTATTTAATATGTTTGTTTTTTAATTTGTGAGAAAATTTTATGTTTTTGTTTTAATTTTAAACTTAGATTATTTAATATCTCTTCAGCATGTTAAATAGGTTGAGAAACAAATCTTTAAGTACAAATAGGTTGAGAAACATGTTTTATCACTCATTTTATAAACAAGTTCAGAAATAGGTTAAACGACTCATTTATCACCCATTTTATAAATAAGTTCAAAAAAAGGTTAACACAATCCATTTATCACTTATTTTATAAATGGGTTGGCAGGTAATCAACGGGTTGACACGACACTTTTACGACCTGTTTAATAAACGGGTTAGTCGTGTTGTGTCGTGTCAACCCGCCAATAAACAGGTCGTGTTTGGGTTTTGTATTTCGACACGAATAATAAACGGGTCGTGTTCGTGTCAGGCTTAATTGTGTCAACTGAGAGGGTCAACACGACACGAACACGACCCGTCAATACGAATTGCCACCCCTAGTGTTTAGGGTTTATATTAGAGATTTCATATGCTAAATATACATTTGCTGCTAGCCTGAAATGAACATTTGCATTATGGTTTGGTTCGATCGTTCAGTTTCCTGAAGTGGGTTTCTTTTCTTTTTTTTTTTTTTTGATAGATTCTGTAAATGGTTGTTGAAAAGAAAGGATTGGCTCTGCTAAAGGAGAATAAAATGGAAGATAATGTTGAAATGGATATCAATCAAGAGATGTCGGAATATGAACCTGAATCTGAGTCGGACGAAGAAGATGATGAACATGTGAAATTGATAGAACCATCGAAGACTGCAGTTTACAACACGGATGGCCTCCTTGATAAACTCGGTGATATTAGCTGGCCAGACAATGTGGGATGGATACACAAGCTCTCCATTGATATTGATCAAGAGCAACAAGTGGATGTGAATGATGACCTAGCCAGGGAGCTTGCTTTCTTTAATCAAGCTCTTGAGGGAACCAAACGAGCATTCGAGAAGCTTCAGTCAATGGGGCTTCCTTTTCTGAGGCCTTCCGACTATTATGCAGAGATGGTGAAGACAGATTCACACATGGAGAAAGTTAAGGGCAGGCTTCTGGCGGAGAAGAGGAATATTGAGGAGGCTGAGGAGAGAAGGAAAGCTAGGGAGTCTAAGAGGTTGGCTAAAGAGATTCAAGCCCAGAAGCTGAAAGAGAGGGCCAAGCAGAAAAAGGAAGACATAGAATCTGTTAAGAAGTGGAGGAAGCAGAGGCAGAAGAGTGGGTTTGCTGGGGGCGACAAGGATGGCGAGATGGACTTTTCCTTCGAGGATGGAAAGGGGTTCGAGAGGTCGAGTAAGAAGAGGCCGGGTGTGGCTCCTGGAGATCGGTCCGGAGGGAAAGCAAGGCAAGGCGGGAAGGGGAAGATACAAAAGAAGAGGCAATTCAGGGATTCCAAGTTTGGATTTGGAGGGAGGAAGGGTTTGAAGAAGCAGAACACAACTGAGACTGCCAATGATTTCAGAGACTTCAAAAGAGGCAATGCAAAAGGAAATAAAAAAAGGAAGATGTGAGAAAAACCTTCCCCTGGTTTGTTTCTAGAGGTGTGGCAGTTTGTTTTCTTTGATACAAGTTTTCCCTAGAAGGGCTTTGTATCATAGAGCAAAAGGGATTTGTCTTTTTGGTCTAAAATGGTTTTGTTACTGTTTTAAAACTGGTTTTGTTTCTTTCTGTTGTTAGTCTTTTGTAATCATAAGATTCATGGTTTTAATCCATAATATTTAAGTTGATAATTGAATGTTGCTTACTTTCATATGAGGTTCATGGTTTCTTCATTTTATGTCAAATGGACTATGCAGGTTCCACTTCCTTCCCATTGTTACGATTTTGGATCATTTTGTAATTGTCTTGGGAACTTTTATCCGATTGCAACATCAAGTACTAAAATACTTTTGAAATGATTGTGGTTGATTCCTAAACCAAAAAAGAAAGGGAAAAAAGACGAAAAACATAGGAATTTTAATTCGTGCTGCTGTCCTTTGAGTTGGGATTTTGTCACATTCCACTGTTGAAATTGTAACATTCCGACTCAAAGGAATTTTTTCAAATTGTTGATTTAGTTTGAGTTGTGGTGATTTTAATTGTGATTCAGATACGTATATAAATTGTAATTTAAATCAGAAATAAAATCTGAATTGTGTTTAAACAAAGTGTTAAGAACTGTTTTTAGAGTTTTGTAACAAATCTTAAAAAAATTATTATAAATGATATTAAAAAATATACAATATGGGTAAGAATTTGTTTCTCTTTTCATTATAAACGCATCAAAATAATCATTACAATTGGAATTAAAATGAGGAAAGTAATGATATTTTTAAGTTTGAAATTGAAGAGAAAGAAAAAGTATAATTTAGACTTGTTAGTCTGTGGACAATAAACAAAGTGTCTTTGTATCAATGCTTCTTGAAACTATTGTACTTGATCGATTCCTTAAGAAAATGAAAAGACAAAAAAATGAGTCAAAAAATAAAATCCCAATATTTAAAAAGTTGCGATTCCCGTTTAAGCAGTCTACAATATTTTGTGTCTTCAGTGTGTCTCTTGTTTGGCACCACGATGAGAGCACTCCCCTAAATTATTGATATATATATATATATATATATATATATATATGTGTGTGTGTGTGTGTGTTGTGTGTGTGTGTGTGTGTGTGCGTGTGTGTGTGTGTATTGATGAGAGCACTCCACAATAATAATTATTGATGTTAATGTTACAATTTATATAAATAGCATTTATGAAATGTTCTAAGCCGTATAATTTAGGAAATTTTTTGACAATATCCCACCCAATTGAATATGAACCGTTCGATTCAGATCCTTTGAATTCGATCAATGGCTCCTATAGGATCTCCCTTGTTAAGTTTTGGTTGTAGAACCTCTAAACCCGATCAATCAATCATATGAAGAGATTTCTAAACCGACTAAATCAAAATCAATTAAGAAGATAATAATAATAATAATAATAATAATAATAATAATAATAATAATAATAATAATAATAATATTTTATGTTTAAAGTTGAATTTGTTGATTTCATGGATGATTTGAGCCCACTAGCTATCTCATCACTTCATGCGTTAATGTTGAAAAAGGTTTAACATATGAATTTTGCTTGAGCAAGCCGGTTTGATAAAGGGATTCGTTCCCTGATTCGAATCATGATTCGTGGTTCGCTACAGTATTTTTTCTCACAAAAAATACACGTAAATCAAAAATGATTCTAATCAGATGGTTCTAATCCATGAACCAAACGGGTTATTTTTGCACCAAATAATGTAAACCAATTATTTATGAAATTTTTCTTTTTATCACATACTTAAGCACCTTATTATTTTTTTTTCTATTCATAATAATATGGTCACTTTAGCTCTATATAATAATTAATTATGTTACAACCTGGAACAACTTTGTTAGACTAGTACATGACAATGGAAAGGACAAATGATTATGTAATTGGCCACAATGTCACTTTTCCTTGTGTTACATTTGGCAAAATGTCCTCATCCCAACATATATTTCGAGTTTTGGTTATACAAACGAGAAAAATGAATCTGTATTCAAAACATGTGCTAAATCCATCAAAAAACGACAATAACTCTTAAAAGCGTAAAATAAACCTTAGTTATTTACAAACAACCCAAGAAACAAAACAAAAAGACTTTATGTCGTATGCCAAGCATCAAATAAAATATCATTATTTTAATATTATGTGATGACATAATCTAATTGATTGAATAGTTGGACTTTGATTCTTGATCCACTTCAAACATAAAAATCGATAATTACATTGAGATACCATGATAGTGACTTCAATATACGTTCAATGTAAAGGACAAAATGGGGGATCTAATTGACTTTAATATACGTTCAATGTAAAGAACAACATAACTAAACTAATGGGAAATTGCAGTGCATAGGCCAACATTTAAAACTTGTGAAAGTAAATAACTTATTTACTGAGCGTTAGAAATAAATAGGTCATTTGCAGTTTAGAACCTTTTATCTTCCAATTTTACCCTTTTTATAAGGTTTGTTATTTTTCTTTTCTTTTCTTTCCGGAGCCTCTCTCTCTATTGACTTCTCTCTCTTTTCTTCTCTCGTCACCAAACGGCTCCCTCTCTCTCTCTCTCTCTCTCTCTCTCTCTTCTGATCTCCATGCTTCTCTCCCACCCTCCCCGACTTCTCTCTCTCTCTTCCGGTAAAATCTAAGCTCAGACTTCACTGTCAAGACTCAAAACGGTGCAGTCGAGACAATGCGAGCCCTTTTGACGGTGACGAATTTCATTGATCTGCATCCAGATCTTCTTACCGTCGTTCTAGATCTCCGCCTTCAGTGTTAGTCGGCACCTCATGTACTGTGGTGGCCATGAAGAGAACATGGTGTTTCTAGAATAATTTAAATATATGTATTTTAAGCAATATGTGCTAGAAAAAAAAATTTGTTGATCGGAATGTAAATTTATAAGTTATGTTATGAACCATTAATTTGTGTCATTTGGTTTAAATCTCTTAAGTTTATTATTGTTTTGATTAGTTCTATTGGCTATTAATGTTCAGGTTTCGCTTTGTGCTGGGTAAGACAATCTGATTGTCTAGTAGATGTTTGATAAATTGCTTAATTTTACACCCTGAGTACAACGAACGTAGAGAGAGAGAGAGCGTGCGTGCAAGAAGAGAGAGAATTTTAGTTTTTTCTTGGGTATCATTTTAATTTTTTTACACGGGGCCACTTTTGTAAATTTAAGTGCCAGTAAATCCAGATTAACAGTAAATGGTCTATTCCTAAACTTTGGACTATTAATTCTTATTAATCTCTTAAATAGACATATTTCCCTCCTTCTCCCCTAAACTAATTGGACTGAACTATTTGCTTATCCCACTAGAAAAATCCAAAAATACCACTCAAGATGGTGAAAAATTTTACTTATACCACTCAACTGAAAAATTAATAATTATCACTCAATTAATAAAAAAAAATTATAATAACACTTAATTATTTAAAATGACAAATAATAAACTTGTGCAAAACCTTATATAATTGCCACTTACTTTTAAAGTGACTCACAAGCTAGTAGTTATTAGACCAAAGAAGAAAACTCTCATTAAAGAGAGAAAGGGGAAAAGAAAAGGCTTACTATATACATAAACATACATATGTACCTATATATCTAATATATAAATACAGGTATATAGGGCTTGTCCTTGCTTCTCTCAGGAAGACAACCTCTGGTAATACAAAAGAGTGAGAAAGGGAACACGTTCAACATAACACTTGACGCAGCAAGGATGTAAAATCTAGAAATCTAGGGCCTGTTTAGTTCGCCGATTTAAGTTTTTAATTCGAGTTGAGATGTGATTTTATGTGAGAGTTTTTTACTGTAGTAAAAAATTTAAATGTGACTATTTCTGAGAACTTTTTATTGTAACAAAACTCAAATCAGTGGAATGAACGGAGCTATCTCATAATATTATAATATTATTTACGGTCTGTGTTACGTTGAACAGTGCCTTGTTATACTTCTTACTTTATATGGTCCTCCTGCAATGATCTTATCAAAAGCCTGAACATACAGTTTGTAAGTGGATATTTGCTTATAAGAAACCATTGCTACATATAAGTGGGCTGCTTAGGGTCGTTTAGCATTGTTTTTAGAGGAAGCTTTTAGTTTTTTTATAAGAATTATAACATGTCAGGATGTTTGATATAGCATGTTTTTGTCTAGAAGCTTCTAAAAATTACTACCCAGCAATAAAATTTAAGAAGCAAATCACTAGTAAAACACATTCTGTTTTCAATGTTCAAATATACTAAAATAAGCTCAATAATAAAACATAATTATCAATCTACCAATTTTATTTTTCCAATAACATATAAAAAATAATGCTTTTAAAAGTTACAAAATGTACTATACTAAATTTTACTCCACATTTCAAAAACTTAAAAAAAATGTTTAAAAATAACAGTTAAATAACAAATTTAGTATTTATTTTATTATTGTAATTGTTGAAAATATTGAAATTAACAACAATCAATCGGAAATATTTAAATAAAAAATTAAGATTATATCTTTTTAGCAGTTTCAACTAAACATATTATAAAATTAGAAATAAAAACTATAATTATAAATGTGTAAAGTATATCTATTTTAGTTATTATACATCTCTATAACATTTTTATAAAGAGTTTACCAAATGCTTTTGGTACACACGGCAGCTTTGAGAAAACAAATAACTCCTGACAATTACCGCCTCGTTCACTTCGCGGATTCGAGTTTTCAATTCGAGTTGAGACGTGACATTTTCTGAGAGCTTTTCACTGTAGCAGAAAAATTAGATGTGATATTTTCTGATGGCTTTTTACTGTAGAAACCAAAAATTGAAAACTCAAATCGGTGAATGAACGAGGCCTACAAGAAAATATTTTTGAACAGCACGACAGTGCTAAACTGACCATTAATCACACTAATCAAACCCAGCTAATTAATAATGAAAGCTATATTGATATTTCATTCTCAATCCCAGCTTAGTCAATAACTAGCCGGCAAATTAGCTTCTGCACATTAAAAAAAAAAAATTCAAAATATAGCCACCCAAATGACATTTAAAAATGATTTGCGGAAAAGAAGAGAACCCAAAGCATTGTGATTATCACCAACTGTTCCATTGTCCTTTGCCAGACTCCAAAAGTTCATGTTAACAACAATCACTGCCAATGAATAGTAAAGCTTGTCTTGCACAGCTTGCACAGCTATACTTAAGCAGCCAGAAACATGTTAAAAAACAAAAGGTCTGTCTCCAAACAACAATTGAGAAAACTCCCAGGGCCCCTAATTCTGGATATCCGAATATGCTCTCCAGCTTAGTCCAAAGATGCTTTGCTTTTGCTTGGAATCACCACTACAGTACTTTCCTCTTGAGATCGGTTGGTTTAAATTCATGACTGCTTTCCATTCCACTCTTTCAAACTTGCTTCTAAAGAACTAGTCGACATATCCATTTACATTTTTCTTCATCCTTGATTTTTTTTTGTTTTTCATTTATCATGTTAATCCTACCCTAGCCAATCCAGCTTATCTAAGGTAAATATGTGTGTGTCATACAATAGATGTAAGTCAATTAGCAAAACAGAAAAGGAAAACTATATAGAACAACAATATACAAATGTAGCAGTGTAGCCATTGCTTTGTTCAGTGTTTTATGCAAAAACCTTGAGAAAAAGTAATAAGATTGCGGTGAGGAACTAACCATGGAGTCGGCAGCAAAAGGCGGTCGTCGTAGTGTGGTGGTGATTCTGGATGCATCTAGAGATGAAAGCTTGAAAGCAATTGAAAGGGTCTGGAAGGAGTTTTCTCTTGAATCCGGAGATGACCTTATAATTCTTGCAGTTCTTCACCAGGTTAATAGTCCTAGTACGTTTTCTTTCGCAGGAGCTGTAAGAAAAAGGCGTAAGGATTAAATCTTGTATATGCTTTTTTTGGTTTTTCGTACAGGGAAATATACCACGGTAAAGTATCTTACAAGCTCAAACTGTACATGTGCAAAATGCTGACTTTTGCTTCTCTTTTTCTTTGCCTTCAATATATGATTTCCAGTGGGATACAAGGTCACTGTGGATTATAATTCGATGTTTGGGACAAACGAGAAAGTCGTTGAGGATGCGCTTGCGGTTAAGGAGAAAGAGTTCATGGTCAAAAAGGAGATTATCAGTATTTCAAATGCATGTCAAACAGAAAAGGTTAGAAAAATTTTGCCTCCCAAACCATATCTGAAATGAGAAATACACTTTCAAGATTTGTTCTGATACAAGTTTTGTATGCATATCATGAAAATCAGTATCAGTTACTTATATTAGTTGATACGTATCTATATATACCAGACTAAATTTGATGTCTTACCTCAACATCCAATATCCTTGACTGAGTGTGTGTGAAATCTATTTAGAGTAAACTCTCCAATGCATAATGATTCCGAACATTCAATTTTGGCAAATTATACCATCAACTTTAAATCAGTAGCAATTGAGATCTAATAATTTAGAAAGATTATGATCTTTGCTTTTAACCGTCAAATTTGACAACATTCGTTAGCTATTGGACCTCAATTGTTACGGAAGTTCAAGGTGCAATTTATCAAAATTAAAAGTTCGGATTCATTACGCAAGAAAACAAATAGTTTGTGGGGCAACAATGCAATTTACTCATCTATCTATCTATCTGTACAATTGAAAGGACAAATAATAATAATAAAAAAAAAAACTTTTCTTATGCCATCACCTGTCAATGTCAATCCAATGGCTAACAAAAAACTTTTTTTTTTTAATGAAAATTGGATTCAGATTAGTTTCCAAGTGATGGTGCTTGCTGGAAAAATCGATGCTGTAGAAGAAGCGAAAGTATCAGAAGCAACCTGGGTAATTCTTGATAAGTAAGTCGAAACTTCAAATATCTCGTTCCTTTACGACGGATACTATATATAGAGATGTTTTTGTGAGTGTACTACGGCCAAATTTGTGTATGCATTTGGATATAGCAAAAAAAAAAAAAAAAAAAAAAAAAGGGGCAAAAAAACTGGACTGGCATTGATTGTGTATGGGTCTAAGAAATTGAGGTCATATTCTGAAACTAAAATAACGTAGTGTCTTTAGACACCATGATATATGTCAAGGCCCTGCAACGGTCATAGTTTGTACCACAACCTGATTCACATAGACATTTTAGGTAATACGAGGTTAATCCAACAGCATTTCTCCAAAAGTAGACACAAATCGTGTCCTAGAATACTTCCAGAACATAACAATTATGAAAAGGAAATTCAAGAAAATAAATACAAAAAAAAAAAAAAAACTACCTGAATAACTCAGATTAGGAGAGCTCTTTTTGACATGGCAATGCAGGGAGACGAAGAGAGACAAGAAATTCTTCTTGGAACGCCTTTCATGTGACATATCGAGAATGAAAGATGACAAGTCTCTTGAATATTTAAGGGGGCCAAAAGAAAAAGGAAACAGCAAACAACCAACTGAAGATTTTGGAGGGCCAAAAGAGAGGGGAGACAGCAATCCACCAACTGAAGGCAGTACTAGACTGCAGACTGACACTAGCACCAGAGGCCACATAAAGTATGATGAAATGATACCAGGAAGCCCAAAAGGAAAGCATTCTCATCATAGAAGTAAGCGTTTCTTTTGAAATTTCTATTCGCAATGAAATCGCATGCACATGAGACAATCTTTTTATAGCAATAATCTATACACATACAGACAGTCCTTTCAAATGTACTTTGTGAACTGAATTTGGTCTTTTAATCAACTGACCCTGAAATTTGGATCCTACAATATGATGTATTGTTTAACCTGTGAAAAAAAAAGAACAACCAACAACAACAACAACAAAGTCTGTCTAATAACCAATTCCGACAGTACTTCAATTCAGTGACTATATTTTGAAAACCAGGCAATATGCTTAGTGCATCCAATCTGGTTCATCAGGTTCATCAGGTTCTAAAGAGAAATCATCAATAGATAAAGAAAATACTAGAAGTACGGAAGGAGAAAGAGCAGAAAGGAGCGAAAACGATGGGGGGAGCCCAGAGGGGCATGGACAGAATCTCAACGACTATGATTGGATCGGAGGATATGAAACTGATGAGGAATTTATTTCAACTTGTACGAAATGTGACAACAGACGGCCGAAGACTGGATGGAAGAAAGAGTTCACTTATAAAGAGCTCAATGTGGCTACAAGCTGTTTTTCTGACAAGAACTTCCTATCAGAAGGTGGATTTGGTTCTGTCTACAAAGGAGTGTTGAAAAATGGCCTAAACATTGCTGTGAAGCAACACAAAAGTGCAAGCTTTCAGGGAGAGAAAGAATTCGAAGCTGAGGTTCATTTTCTCAGCAAAGCAAGACATGAGAATTTGGTCGTGCTGCTGGGATCATGTTCAGAAGGAGACAATAGGCTTCTTGTTTATGAATTTGTATGCAATCGTTCATTGGACCAACATCTATCAAGTAAGAGTAAAAAATAAGATTCTACAACCCTATTATTCTTGAAGATCCCTTACAATCACATAACTGAACAGTACTTAGATGATTTTATTTTGTTTCTGAAACCATGCAGAACACACACGTGAACCCCTATCTTGGAATGAAAGGATGAAAATTGCTACAGGAGCTGCAAAAGGATTGCAATACCTGCATGCGAAAAATATTGTCCACAGAGATATCAGACCGAACAACATCCTCCTAACACATGATCACCACACCCTGGTAATGAAACCAAATGCCATTCTTTTTATTCCCTGCAAAAGGATGGCATAATCATCCGGACAACTTGCCCTGAAAAATGCTTGAGGCACTAGTGGCGTTTAACACCCCAACTAATAGATAGGGCCCGTAGTGTGGGACCCATCTTCTATTAGTGTGCGGTGTTGGACATAACTGGTTCCCCTTAAAATTGTTCATTAGCGCTCATCTAAGTGCTCAATGTCTCAGCTAGGAGACTTTGGTCTCGCAAGAACGCAAGAGGAAGATCACTCGTCAGTAACAAGAGTTGTTGGAACTCTGGGATATCTAGCACCAGAGTATGCGGAAAGTGGGAAAGTGTCAACCAAGACAGATGTTTATTCTTTTGGTGTCATTCTATTGCAGCTGATAACAGGACGCGGCACTAATGACAAGTCACTTGAAGGGAGAAGTCTTGTGGGATGGGTAAGTGATAAAAACCTTATAAGCCTTCTATGTATAGACACTAAACAAAGGCTGTTGGCTACATAAGATCCATTTTTTCTTTTTTCTTTTTTTCAGGCTAGACCACTGCTAAAAGAAAGGAACTACCCAGATTTAATTGATTCGAGAATCACCGATTCCCACGATGTCCACCAACTCTTTTGGATGATTCGAGTAGCAGAAAAATGTCTTACCAAGGATCCCAAAAAGAGATTATCCATGGATGAGGTAAGTCAAATAGTTTTGACTAAATAATCTGCAACTAGGTATCCAAATTGAGCACTGTACTTTGGATGCTTATAATCCTATGAAACTGGCGCACCCCACCATTTATAGCCTCTGCAAACTACACTTCTTAATAGAACAATAATAGAATTGCGACATAAAATTCAATATTGGTGTCCCTCCTAATATATTAAGATTTTAGGATAACTGGCAAGTAAATCGATATGCTTTAACCTTATTCTATTAAACTGTGTTGTTGGGTTCATTCTCTCATGAAGCATTGGATTCACAAATCTTTTATCAGCCATCCCAGAGACTTCTATCGGCTGGTAGTTTTACGTTGCATGTAAGGTGACAAATTACACATACTTTACAATTATCAGTAGTTAATAGTGCACGGGATTCAAACTTTTGAGTCATATATAAGGGAAAAAAGAGAGGAAAAAAAAATCATTTTCATGTGTGCTTATAAACAGACTCATACAGATACAGCGAGGGGAGCATTCGAGAAAGACTCAACCTGAAAAAAAAAAAAAAAAAAAAAAAAAAAACTGGTTTGATTCGCTAAGAATGCCGGATAATAAGGCACCAACTAACATGTTGATTCACTTACAAATGCCGGGACAGTAGGGATAGAAACAGAACTGGTTTATTCTAGGAATACTAAGAATTGCACACACAAATTTAGAGTGAAAACTCTTAATAATCAAACTCCCCCAAATAAACTTAACGTAAAACTTTACTGATCAAAATCCCCCAAGTAACTTAACGTAAAACTATATTACCAAACTCCACCAAATAAATCTAATTTCTAATTGGGAAAAAAAAAAAAAAAAAAAAAAAAAAAAAAAAAAAAAAAAAAAAAAAAAAAAAAAAACAAATTTTTAATTGGGAAAAAAAAAAAAAAAAAAAAAAAAACCAAACTTAAAAGTCTTAAATAAGATAATCCTAATTTTAAAATCATAAACGTTGTAGAAATCTAGCATACCTAAAATTTCGAATCTTCTTTATCCTTATCCACCATCTGCATAATATATATAGAAATCATTTTCTTGAGGAACAATTATTTTGATATACATATATAAGTTGATTGCAGGTGGTATATGCTTTAAATTACCTCAGAGAATCAGATACAATCTGCAATATCAGGCTTTCACCCGCAAATTCAGATTCATCACCAGGCAACGGTCGAGATTCGCCTGACACAAATGTTGATGATGATGACAATGATCATGCAAAGTATGACTTAAAAACTCCCACAATGTACAGCACCAGGTATTATGATCATAATATGAGTGGAACAAGTTCACAATCTTATTCAACTCGGTCAATTTCTTCATCAGAAAGTTCAAGCATGTTCACAGCATCTGTGGTGTCCAGTTTGGACAATCGTGATTATCTCCAGTAGTGATTATTACCCCGTTAAAAATGCTTAGAAACACCACCAATGTTAAGATCACGACTAATAAAAGGTGGGTCCCGTGTTATAGGACGCATCTTCTATTATTGCGACAATTAATAACGAAGGAAGACTTGCTGTGAGTTGTGATGATAGCCGTTGGTGGGTGATAAATAATATTACATTCATAATAACAAGAGAGAAATATATATACATGTAGATATAAATTTTACGTATGTACATGGTATGTATATGAGCGAAATGCAGTATATTATAATGATTGGCCCGTTCGGTGTGTGCATAAAGTACGTACATGGTAGTTGTCCATTCTTCATCTGCACGTTATTTTCCTAAATTATTTTCTCAATGGAAATTTGTAATTTCAAAAGGAAAAAAAGAAAGAAAAAAAATACTATCATACATCAAAACATCTAGCATTCATAGGTTTTTGAAAATCGGGTATCTAAATATTTTTATTTCTGACACTAACAAATAAATAGCAAAGATCAAAACGCTCAAACAGAAATATGTATTGCATTTTTAGCCCTTTGAAGCTATACTTGGATTAACATATTGAACCTGAAACAAAAGCGGAAGAACCAATCATGCATATACAAATAATAATATACAAAAGGGCAAAGGCACAATAGGAAAGGGTTAAACCACCAGTAGTCTTAGTTTTTGAGCTTTAAATCTGATTAAATTCACGTTAGATTAAAAAAATATGCAAAATAGATGAAATTTGATACAGATCTAATGACTAAAAAGTAAGAGATTACTAGTAGTCCATTTTTACAAAGACTGTCAAAGAAAGTTTCTTTTTTTCTTTTATGGCTTTCGGTGCATCTCAAAATTGTGACCGATATGCAGCAAGAGCAATTCTGTGCGGCGCGTTATAAATTATTAATACGGACTTATACAGATTTGACCGTTAAAAATTTAATTAACAGTAAAAAACACTTGCTCTTAGTGGATCACAAATAGAAGATGTACCGTAAAATTTCTCCTTTTTTTTTTGTTAAAAGGACCTTCAAACCCTTAAAAAGTTGTGATTGAAGATTTTCTTCAAGTTCCATCATTTTTTTAACAACTTTTTCATGAATAATATAGAGACATCAACGTTAATTCCAATTACGGAGTTGTCAATTTTTTATTAATAGCGGAAGATACAACCTCAAAAATTTTTAAAAATTATGATAAAATAATTTATTGATTTTCTTGGATCATTTATCGATTTTAAAATGTCATTGATTTATTATTGTTTGTTATTGATTAATTTGAATAAATTAATGATTTAGCAATGTAAATTATTGATTTATATTTCTATTCCATTCAATTGATTTACTTTGACAAAAACAACATAATAATCTCAAAATCAACTCCAGAATTGTTCAAAATCTAATTTATTGAGAATCTAAAGGACAATACGAATCCGATTGACAAAACTACTTTGATTGATTAATTTATTGTTACTGGGATAGTATTGATAACTCTCATTAGAAATTTGTAACAAATTTCAAAAGATTTTAATAGGATATATGGATGAGAATTTGAAGCAGGAAAAAATAATCGTTGACTTATGTGTTGGAATTGTGAGAATTTAGAAAGGGGCAGAGGGGTGTTGAATTTTGGATTGTGCTTTTAGAATTTGAATATAGTTCCAAATAGCTTATCAAATGCTCTACCAAACATTATTTGTTCAAATTGTTGAACCAAATATGGGGAAGATTTTATTTTTAATTTTTAATTATCTCTTACAATGTATTTTATTTACAGACTCTAAAAGATTCATATCCAAAGACTTCAAAGAAGTGGCAACGCAAATATCTGGAAAAAAAAAAAAAAAAAAAAAAAAAAAAAAAAAAAAAAAAAAAAAAAAAAAAAAAAAAAAAAAAAAAAAAAAAAAAAAAAGAAGAGAGAGAAGGAATGAGAACATTTTGAGATTATAAACTTAAATTAAATTTGAAATAATCATATGAGATAAACACAATCTTACTTTTATTGCATTGCACTTTCTTAGAATTATAATTTATTTACGTACTCAACAAAGTTCAAAACACCTAATTCATATTTTTCAGTTCAAATCACCACAATTCGAATATGCAAATTAAATGAGGCTTAATTGTTTCTATAAATACTACAGTGTTCCTAATTTCCATTTAGAGTTGATGAATAATTAGTATATTAGCTTCTAGTTTTCTCCCTTTAAGTTCTCTATTTCCCTTCTTGATTCTATTATTCCCACTCTATTGTGTTGATCCTGCATCAGATTAACAATGAATTATCTGCAGATTTAAAATTTTGAAATTAAGCTAAAGATAAGAAACACAAAAGGCTATTTTGTGGTTGAGAGAGTGAATAAATGCAATAAGAAAAATATTAAAAAAAAAATTTAAATAAAAAATGCATGCCAACTTACGCAACTATGGAGCTTGGTGGCAAAACAAAAATAAAAAGTAAAATATAAACGAAGAAAATATGAAATAATACTCTGAAATTTTGATAAAATAAAAAAGCAACACACATTTTTCAGGTTACTCCTCGAAACAAATTATAAAACCGAGATTACAAAAAATAAATATTTAAAGATTTTATTACACAAAATACATCATATTGTTTATTTCAATTTATCTTTCGTATTTTAGATACTATAAATATATTGTTTGAATTTGAAAAACTTGTTTCAATTTCATCTTAGCCACACTCTGTAGACCAAAAGGCAAGGTGAAAAGACAACAATACTCTTACTTAGATGAAATTTCTGAAAAATATTTTTTTCCTTAAGAAAGTTTTCTGAATAAATATTGCTATATGATTACCTCCGTTAAATTACAAAATGTAGAGTCCATTTTAGGATTAATTTCACATTTAACCCTTAAACTGTGCAATTTTTCCCATTTTGACTTCCCAACTTTGATACTTTATAGATCGGAACTATGTAAAGCAATAATTATAGTTCTAACTTAGAAGCCTTTTGAAATCATTTTCCGAGTCGTTTTCCCCTATTTTGTTTATGAGTTTTTTTTTTTTTTTAATTTAGAAGAATCACAACCCAACGTGAAAAAAAAAAAAAAAAATCATATTCGTTATATAAGCTGTTATTTTAAGTACAAATTTTCGTAAAACTTCTAAAAAAAATTGTAGAGAGAGAGAATAGTTAAAAAAAATTAGGGAATTTTTTCCTCCAAAATGCTTTTAATGATGAAAGGGCTAAAATGACACAAGTTGCATAATTTAGGGGTACAATTTTGCAATCAGTAATTGACCCTCATTTTATGGCGAAAGAACAAAACTGCCCAAAAATAAAAGTTAATGGAATAATCTGCTAAAATTATTAGTTTAGAGACCAAAATAACACAATACTTAGAGCATCTCCAATGCAATGCTATAATTGATGTATCAATTGTAAATTTAACATTTGAATACAAAAAGTACTCTCTAATGCAATGCTATTTATTGTGCTAAATTTCTCTTATGTTATATTTTGTGACAAATTTCTCACCAAGTATAACATATGAAAAATTTAACATTTAATTAATATTGATTGAAATGTTTAGTTTTTTATGTAATCATTACAACTTTTACATTTTTTAATTATTTTAAAAATAAAAGTTTATTTTTACAACTTTCAAAGCTTAACAGTTATGAAAAAAATGTAAATATAGCATTTCAAATAGTATATACATCAAAATAAAAATAAAAATGACACCCTATCATATTTTTTGATGTTAAATATACTATTAGCGTTAACATTTGCATTAAAATTGGAGATGGTCTTACAGTTAAACCACTAACAGTGCTAATAACCCTTGCATAAAAACTTTTCTTTTAGAGATAGAGAAGAGGTAGAGTCAGTCTTAGTGAGACCGGCAAATACCATCCATGATCTAAGTTTGCCATGTAACATACAAATCATACAACGTAACTAATTTCTAAGACAGGAATAAGCATTTGGTAAAGAGAAAATGCTACCACAGACAAGGAAAATAGGAATTGCCCAACGTTCAACGGATTAGAAAAAACCAAATTCATCAAAATAACCAGAATCCATTCAATCAGAATGTTCAACGTTGAAATGCGTAGTTATTCCCCAATCAACGCAGAGCCTGCTGGTGACTGGACACTTCAGACAGTTCTGCTTTGGTATTACATTCATAGCTGCTTTGAAAAAGCAAATAACAAAAAGAGGCTACGAACAAAATAACCATGTCTCGTACAAATAAAACCATTTCAAGTCTCACCAACCGCTCACTCGAAGTCGAGGAAGCCACGGGGGATTCGAGTGCTTAGGACTAAACAAATCGTGAACACGAATGGAAATGGTGGAAAATTTCGATTCCAAACATTTGATGCAGCAATTGTCAAAGGAGATCAGACATGTGACAGACGGGGGGCATATTATTCCACACACAATAATTAAAACCCCATTCTTGGCTTAGTGGAGAACTAGCAGAAGGCAAGTGCATGTAGTCGGCCGCTGAATTATCACCGTTGAGTGTTGCAATGGTGTCGGTCATGATGCCATGGCCCCTGATGCAACCAAAACTCTGCTCAAACAAATCTGAACCAAGTAAAGCATCGGGACGAGTGAAGTCCGTCTGCCTTTTGGATTCTCTCACTTTATATGGGAGTAAATCTGCGTAGACAGGTTCTGGTTTCACAACGCTTCCTGGAAGAGCAAATGGAAGTTGCATCAGTATGAATGGTAGAAGGGAACAATCCTGTTAAATATAATTTGAAATTGAATTAGGAACTTTTTGAGGAATTCACGAGTGCTTTATGGAATCACTTACAAACTTGAAAGTACTCGCGAACCAGTTGAAAGGTAAATTTACAAAATAACATTTGTGGAATTCAGGATCCAATTAATACTAAAATATAAAAGTTCAACTAAGAGAGTTTTTCACATAAATTGATCATCTCAAATTCATAAAATATGAACAGTATCCCCTTTCTGGCCAAATAGGACAACACTTACCGGTAAACGTCTCAGCAGATGGTGGATCATCCAAGGAGCTTCCACTGGCACTAAAGCATTCATTCATAAATGATGTGTCAGAATGACCGAACGGCGAAATAGGTTCTCTGTATTCATCCCACTCATTTTCACAAACGTTCAAAGTGCCATTATCAGCCATATCACTAGGAGAAATACTAGATGAATTTTTACTCTTATCTGAGTGTTTCTGTCCACTGCTTAAATTCTTCGCCTCATGAATCAGAGCATCGAGCAGGCCACTATTACGGGGTGAAGAGCAATCTGACTCGAAGGCCCCAACTGGTGGGGGAGATTGGATAAAAGCATCAACTGACTCGAGTACAGGCGGTGGGGGAGAAGTGCCCCAAGTGCCTAAATCAGTTTCGGGATATTGGAGTGAAGGGAGCTCCAACTTCACAGCCCCATGAATGGGCTTGGAAGCAGAGGAATTACCATTTGGAAGGGAATGGTCACCCTGAGTTACATCAAAAGACAGCAAGCTCTTATTAGGATCAAGATCAGGTCTAAAGGATGCGCCAAATGAACTAGCTACTTTATCGCCAGGATCATTCTGAAACTGGTCAAACAGCGGAAATCCATTCTGGACACAACCAGCTGAATCTGGAAATACATCTGATGATTCACGAAGGCGTTTCTGGCGGTGGATTGTTGGCGGCACGAAACTATAATATTGTGGAGACATACCTTTCAACAGCATGGTGTTCATAGACATATCCGTAAGGTCAGAAACATAAGACAAGACCTCAGTGTTTGCCTTTAAACCATCAAACACAACATCGGGTATCTCAAAACTATTGACCTGCAAGGGATCATGTTGTCCTCTGTCCCCACAACTAATTCCGCCAGTATTTTGGCCTTGTTGATTCTCTTGAAACGCTTGCAAACACAGGTCAGGAGGATAGAGAGGCAAGCCGGCTCGTTGACGTCTCTTGATTCGTGTATTCCAGTAATTCTTTATCTCATTATCTGTGCGACCAGGCAACTAAAAAGAGTACCAAGGAGATTGTTGATTATTTTTTATAATAAATGGAATTTATGGGTTTCATTTAAAAAGAAAAAAAAAAAGAAAGAAAGGAAAAAAGAAAAGAAAAGCATTAGTTGAAGCAACAATAACTTAAAAAGTCAATTGTTAGGTTTTCTCAAAAGTTAGTTGAAACCGGTTCCAAGTTTTGAGATGAAGAGATTGAAGAATTCAGTCCCTAATTGGATTTCCTAAGAGAAAAACCCTTCAATGCCAAGTGGATTGCCAGTCAAATTATCCTTAAGTAATAGTATTCCAACACTAAACTTTTCCACGTAAAGAAAACCTAGCAATATCTTACTTCTAATATGTTTGGCATATAGCCACACCAAATATTCCAAATTTATTGCACAGTAGCAAGATTGACGGCTTTAATTTGCACTTTCATATCATAAAAATGCATCATAATTTATCTCCCAAAAGAATTAATGTTCATGCATGTTAATTGATTGAGATTCTCATAATTAATAACAAAAATTACAATAACATGAGCCTTGCCTGTGCATGCAGCACAACTATAAAGTAACATAATCCCTTGCAGAGACATTAATCAACACTGTGAGATACTTAACAAGAAAGGAATTATGAGGATATATAAACTGCAGAGATCAAATAGCATAAGTGGTCAATTAATTTATGTAGTTGTTACTGTAAAAGGGGAAAAAAGCATATTGGTTTTACTGGTTCTCTCTCGCTATGGGGTTATGTAGTTAGATATGCAGATGAAAAAATTAAAATAAGTTTAACATGTAAAATATATTTATTCTATAATGCCATAAATGAACATAAAATCAAGTCCAGTCCAATTCTAGACATAGAACTGCAAAACCAGATTCTCTTTGAACCAAACAGCTGACCCTACTTGACAGTACAGTTCATTCAAGTCAAAACTAACAGTGTTGTGCCAAAGACGGCAAACAAACGGAATACTAGAGCGTTTCAGGCAATTGCCTCCAAAACGAAAATTTTAGCATTAATTTTCATTTTATTCTCTTCGTCTACCATAGAATAGGTAAAAGGCTGGAGAAAATCACACTGTAGCTGAAGCAAGAGTAACAGTAAGTATTCCTCAATTCACAATATTTACGGTTAAAGATGCATAATAATTGAATCATCGCTGTAAAAAAGAAATAAATAAAAACACATGCAGATCATCTAAAAAAGGAAAAAGAAAATCAAAGGATCAGGTAAACATCCTGTATTTGTTTGCTAGACAATTAGCTTTATACTATGCAACACTGTAAATTTGCAGCAGACTACTCAATAAATAAATAACATGCCAATAATTATGAATGATTACTAGAACTCGGAAATACTTCTTTTATCAATAACTATAGGCTCTTCCCCTGTTCTGAATTGTATTTTCCTTAAAAAAATATTATAAAGAACAAAGGCCAAGAGCAAAAAACTAAACACGCAATGTATCACACCCATAGAAAGAAAGAAATAAAACAAATACTCACATGTGAGGCCATACGTGCCCACTTGTTTCCCATCTTGGCATGGAGTTCAATGATCAGCCTTTCTTCATCTTGAGAAAACGCACCTTTCCTCAAGTTTGGCCTTAAATGATTTGCCCATCGTAGTCTACAGCTTTTTCCACAGCGAGAAAGCCCTGAGTGCTTCTGAACTGCATTCCAGTTACCCTCCCCATGTTTTTTGACATATTCCACCAGAAGTGCATCTTCAGATGATGTCCATGGACCTTTCTTCAGAAGAACTCCACCACCGGAACTTCCCCCATTACTTTCGTCGATTAATGGTGACTCACTATGATATTTGGAGAGCACCCCGTCCTCACTCTCATTTGTTGTCCAACTCATCTCTAAATCTGCAATCGATTACCAAAGCCTACCAAGAGCTGACAATCAACCAAATGGTAGGTTCCCAACCTGGACATAAGAAACAAACATATTAAATAGACCACAAGCACTTCGTCTTTGACACTTACCTTCTATGCATATGCTCAGAAAGATCAAATAAACCCAATATACCAATTACCGTGGCTTTAGATTTACAAAATTGACATCCTATAACATTTTATAACCAATTGTAGAGTTGCGTTCTTTATATTTGATAGTAGCTTGGTTCGGAATAATATCATTTTATTTAAATTTGAACCGTTATTGATATCATAGTCAAAACAAGGTCATGCAGATTGTAGCTTTGAGTCTATCCAGAGTCCAAACCAACATAGTTCGATCGAACTACCTGGTCAACACATGACACGGTATCCAGACTTTGCAGAATGCATCATACACATCTTCTACATCTTCTGATGTTCTGACTGCTGTGTTCATGTATGTGTAGATTGATATCATAAATGACAACAAAGTGTGAGGATAAAAATGAATAATAGAATTTGCAAGAAACTCGGAGTCTAAAAAAAACAAATGTGATAGCCCATAAGTTATGTGGTTTTAGATTTGACTATAATTCACAATAACTCCGCCCATGCGTTTGTATAGCCAGTTCCAAGCCCGGGTAAAGGAGGAGGGTTGCAGTAGGTTGACGGCCAGCGTAAAAATAAGTCACTATCATGGATTTCACTTACATAGAATTTGTTGGGGTGTTCCCTACGTGCGACGCGCTATGCCGGGCCCCGGGTATAGTGTTAAATAGGCAAGGGGGGTCTTCACACATTAATGGACGTGTGCGGGGGAAAAAGCGAGCCCATGCGCCATGTCAGGCCCCGGATATGGTGAAAAATATACAAGGGGGGTCCTTACACATTCATGGACGTGTGCAAGGGCCAGAGCTAGCCCATGATAGGAAAATTCGTTTAGGTAGTTGGAATGTGGGTTCTTTAACTGGTAGATCCATGGAGTTAGTAGATGTTATGGTAAGAAAAAGAATTAACATTTTATGCTTACAGGAAACGAAGTGGACAGGAGAGAAAGCAAAGGAGATTGGGAATTTAGGACACAAGTTATGGTATACAGGTTAGGAAAGGAATCGCAATGGAGTTGGTATTCTAGTGGACAAAACTGTGAAGGATGACGTAATTGAGATTAAGTGAATAGGGGATAAAATTATTATACTCAAATTGGTACTAGGAAATAAGTTCATCTGTGTAATTAGTGCTTACGCTCCGCAAATAGGATTGGATGTAGAAACTAAAGTCAAGTTCTGGGAAGACATGGATGACTCAGTGTGTCGTATAGGCAATGAGGATAGCATTTTCATTGGAAGAGATTTCAATGGGCATGTTGGTAAGGATAGGGAAAACTTTGAAAGGATCCACGGTGGTTTTGGTTTTGGAGCTCAAAACGAAGAAGGAAAATCTATTTTGAAATTTGCGTTGGGACATGATTTTATCATAACAAACACATTTTTCAAGAAAAGAGATTCACACTAGATCAATTTTAAGAATGGAAGGAACTTGAGCCAGATAGATTATTTTCTCACAAGGTATAGAGAACGTTCTCTATGTAAGAATTGTAAAGTAATTCCTAGAGAAGTACTAGCCACCCAACATAGGTTAGTGATCTTAGATGTGAGCATTAAGCTTTGCTATAAAAGGACTAAGATAAACCACCTCTCACGAACTCGTTGGTGGCATTTGAAGGGAATAAAGCAATTGGCCTTTAAAGAGAAGTTGTTAGATGAGGCTACTTGGTCATATATAGGTGATGCAAAGACTACGTAGGATGTCATGGCCAGCTGCATTAGAAAAGTGGCAAAGGAGGTACTAGGGAAATCTAGAGGTAAAGGCCCCCCAGGAAAAGAAGCCTGGTGGTGGAGTGAGGAAGTTCAAAAGGCTATTAGGACCAAGAGGGATTTATATAGAGATTTATCAAAGCGTACGGATGTTGAAACTTTTAATAAGTACAAAGAAGCGAAGAAAGAAGCTATGCGAGCAGTTGGTAAGGCTCGTTCTACTTACTTAGATGAGGTATATAGGAGACTTGGGACTAAAAAAGGAGAGAATGATATATATAAACTAGCTAGGATAAGAGAAAGGAAGTGTCGGGACCTAAATCAAGTGAGGTGTGTTAAGAAAGATACGGATCAGGTTCTGACAAAAGATAAAGACATTAAGGAAAGGTGGAGGAGTTACTTTGAAAAACTTTATAATGATGATCATGCAATAGAGTTTAACGATCTTAGGACAAGGAGAACCTAATATGATATATACAAGAGGAATCAGAGTCTCGGAAGTTAAAACTGCACTACGAAAAATGAAAAAGGGGAAGGCATGTGGGCCAGATGATATTCCAATAGAGGTTTGAATGGCGTTAGGAGATGTTAGAATTGTGTGGCTCCCTAAGCTTTTTAATGAGATACTAAAGAAGAAGCATGTGCCTGATGCATTGAGGAAAAGTATTCTTGTCCCCATCTTCAAGAATAAAAGAGATGTGCTGAATTGTAACAATTACAGGAGCATAAAGTTAATAAGCAACACTATGAAACTTTAGAAGAGTTATTGAAAGGAGATTAAAGGCCACAACTACCATCTCAAGCAACCAATTTGGCTTCATGCCAAGCAGAACCACGGAAACCATTTTTCTTCTTAAGATGCTGATGGAAAGGTATAAATAAGCCAAGACAGACCTACATATGGTCTTTATAGATTTAGAAAAGGCATATGATAGGATGCCGAGGGAAGTTTTATGGTAGGTACTAGAAAAGAGAGGAGTGCATGTGAGGTATATCAAGGTAATTAAGGACATGTACGATGAGGTGGTCACGAGTGTGAGAACTGTTGGAGGCTACACGGCAGAGTTCCCTATTCGGATCAGCCTTCATCAAGGATCTGCTATTAGTCCTTATCTTTTCACCATCGTGGTAGATGAGCTGACAAGAGAAATCCAAGATAGAGTTCCTTGGTGTATGCTTTTTGCAGATGATATAGTTTTAGTTGATGAACATAGGGAAGAAGTTAACCGTAAATTAGAACTGTAGAGACAGACTCTCGAAACGAAGGGATTTAAGTTAAGTAGGACAAAAACTGAATACATGCATTGTATGTTTAGTAACTCAAGTAATCAGAGTGATGGAATTTCTTTATATGGTGTGGAGATTAAAGCTTCTAAGAAGTTTAGGTACCTTGGGTCTATAGTGCAGTACGAATGAGATATAGAAGAGAATATTCAATATAGGATTAAGGCATTGTGGGTTAAGTGAAAAAATGCTACAGGAGTTTTATGTGATAGCAAGATGCGTATTAAGTTGAAATGAAAGTTCTATAGGACTGTAATCCGCCCAGCTATGTTATATGGTAGTGAATGTTGGGCCATTAACATACAACATATATCTAAGATAAGTGTGGCAGAAATGCGTATGTTAAGATGGATGAGTGGCCATACAAGAATGGATCGCATAAGAAATGAAGTTATTCGTAGTAAAGTAGGTGTAGCACAAATATAAGATAAGGTGCACGAAGGCCGCTTGAAGTGGTACGGGCATGTCCCAACGTAGACCGCTAGAAGCACCAGTTCGTACTTGGGAGGACATTCTTATACCTAATACTAGGAGAGGGAGGGGTAGACCAAGAATTACGTAGACCGAAATAGTTAGGAAAGACATTCTAAATCTAGGCCTTCAGGAAAGTTTAATTTCTAACATAGCTGCGTGGAAAAGTGAAATCCATATAGCCGATCCCAATTAAGTTGGGATTAAGGCTTGTTGTTGTTTGTCACAATCATAACGAGTAATCAACAACCAAATGAAAATTAAGGGCCCGTTTGGTTTCCATTCCAAAACCAAGTTTATAATTCTAAAAACAAATAAACAAAAAGAGCTACAAAAGGATGCAACCATCAGCATTGAAGTTTTAGTATCAGCCCCAAAATAGAACTTAAAAACAGAAAACAAAAATTTATTTTCAAACTTGAACCAAATAACTCCAGTGAGGATCTACACCAGGGACAGGATTGGCATCGTTTCTGGCATGCCTCTGTGGCTTTGCCTTCTCCATTTTCAAAAACATTCTCCCTCCAATCGCCTTGTCATTCTCCATTTCACTTTGGGCTTTTTCTAGGCTTTCAGGCTGATTTCTCTAGCATCTGCTACTATTTTATCTGACTATTAAGCTTGATTTCCTCTTGCTATGGAACACAATATTTTGGGGTTACTGGATGCAAGTTTCCTCTGGTTTTGCTGCAAGTTATTGAGCAATTATCTACCAAAAGTGTCGTTCATTCTAGTTCTTGCTTCTTGGGTCATGGATGGTTGGGATAAAGTAGTCATATCTCTTATAGGCTTCTTAGTGCCAATTAATGTTCTTGCTCATAGTGATACTTCAAAGCATTCTATCTCATGCAAACGTGTTTTCCGCCAAGGTTTCTCATGAAAATTCCTCTTATACGGCCTTGGATAGGATAACTTTGTGTCTTTGTAAACTCCAATTTGTAAAGATGGACGTGGAGTTTATTGCTGTAAATTAAACTTGATGAAGCATTCTTCCAGGAATGGCGATTTCATGGCATCGTGGGGCATGGATTTTTTCTTTTAACTTAAATCTCAAAACAACTCAATCAAATAAAATATAAATAAATAAACCAATTTTTTCAAACCAATGTTTCCACGCCAGTATTTTAAAATCACCCTTTCCAAAAGGCAAACCAAACGGGCCCTTAATGACCTCTACCAAAAGAAAGCACAGATATTCCCCGGAAAAGAGAAAAGCGGCGAGAAATATTCCCAGGATTAAATCTGCATGCCCAATAAACAAAGTAACCAAAGCGAAAAAACGCGCAGTATAATAAGAAAAACCAGCATATCCAAACCCAAAACCATAATAAGTACTCGTATTCATTGTTTTATTACTTTCCCAATTAATTTTACTCACCAGCCTAGAGGAGGACATAAACTAGATAGAAAATAACTATTTATTATTTATTGCTAATAGTTCTCATTTATTACCAAATCAAGAAGAAGTCTGTCATCATATTTAAAAAAAAATAAAAAAATAAAAAAACAACAACAACAACAACAGAAACGAATTCGTGCAATTTAAAATTATAAAAAAAAATCGTAAAAAACACCTCCATTAATTTTAAATGCAGAAGAAGAAATGAAATACCTGAATTAGAGCAAGATTGAGGATTCCTCAAAATTTTATCAGAAAAAAGCAACAACAATTTCAAAATATGGCTCCTTCACTCGCGATCAAATATTTCGCAATTTTTCAGAAGAAGTGAACGAATTAGCTGAGAGCTGAGAAAATTGCAGAAATCGAGCACCTGAAGAACTCCGAGAAGAGAAATTCAATTCAAACGATCATCGGATTAACTTACAAAAATGAAAAAATACGATTGTAATTCACCTAAAAAGAATCACAAAACCCTACATCTCCAAAAAAATCAAAAATCAAAAATCAAAAATTTCAGAAAAGCTTCAAGCTCGAAGCTTCAAAACATCCAGAGACGAAATGAAAAGAATAAATTGTTCAACAGATCGGAATCAATTATCAAAACCCTAGGTGAAAAAATCACGAAAAGGAAATTGAAGAAGCTCAAACGAGCAAAATTGAGATCTCGAACCTTAATTTGCGATAGAGAGAGAGACGAGAATCCAGGCGTAGAGAGAGCAGCAGGTCTGAGATTCCGATTTCACGTAAGCAATACAATTCGCAGAGAAGAGAACAGTTGTGTGCAACAGAGAAGCTAAGATCGATAGAGAGAAAGAGAGAAGAGAAGAGAGAGAAAAATAGGTAGAAATGGGAAGGAAAGAGAGAGAAACAAGAATGGTGAAATTCCCAGTCTATCTAGAGAGAGAGAGAGAGAGAGGTGGAAAATTGGGGGAGGAGAATATTAAGCGACGAAATGGCAACAGAAGAGCGATGTTTAGGCAGAGATAAAGGTGGAGAAGAGACTACCACCCTACTCATCCATTCTCTCTCTCTTCCTTTCCTTTCCTTCCTTCTTCCTTTTTTTATATATATATTTATTATTTATATTTATATTTATATTTATGTATTTTGAGATTTAATATCATCATTTTTTGAAAATAGATTTTTTTTTTTCAAACTTAAATTGGGAGAGATTCGATTTTATTAATTTTTTCATAACATAATTAGCGATCACGTTGGCATATTATTTATTTTATGTTTTGCTTAAGAATGATTGGGTTTCATCATATATAATAGTGTACACATTTAAAAAAAATAAAAAACGTTAATTTAAAATTTGAACCTAATTATGCACTTTGTGGTGTGCATTTTCCAAACTCTTCCGCGTACATAGTACTTGGATACTTGTGTGTTGTGTCTTCCCAGAGACGCCTTTATGAAAGAAAAATGTTTGGGACAAAAGTACATTAACAAGGTTTATATATATATATATATATATATATATATATATTTTTTTTTTTTTTTTTGCTGAGGCCTATATAAAACTGAAGTCTATCAAATAGTAGGGAAAAAAAAAAAAAAACCTCCTAGGCGCACAAACATCAATTTTAAGTGTGTTTAGCATTAATCTAATGAAACAAATCTTTATATACGTATACATATATGATCCGATTTGCCCTTGTTTGATTTAACAATTTGAATCAACCAATTCAATTCGAATAGTGCAGAAAAACTTCAAATTAGTATTTGGTTTATATATAAAAAAAAAAAAAAACCATTCAAACCTTCAATTATAATTTAAGTGGTTAATTTTAAAATTAACACTCTCCATGAATTCAACAATCCGGATTTTTATTAACATCTCAAACGCAATTGCTTTTTGCTTTTTGAAATTGACACCCTCTAAATTCAAACAGTTAAAAAACAATTACTTTTTTTTTGCTCTTTGACTTTAAGTTTAAAAATATCATAAATTTTTTTGTTTCAACTCTAATTGATATTATTTTTTTTTCCATGTATTCATAATGAAGTGATGAACAAATGCTCATCCATATTACATATTTAAATATGCCATTTGCAATTAGGTTTTATAAGATTTATTACAAAATTTTAATGACAATTTTCAACACTTTATTCAAACACAATTTAGATTTCTCTTAATTCAAATTATAATTTATGTACTTTAAATTTTCAGTTCGAATCACCGTAATTTAAAAATGACTACAATTCAAATTGTTGAACCAAACACAACCAAAAGATTATTTGCATTCAATGATTAGTGAATAAGGGATGAACAAATACTCATCCATATTACATATTTAAGTATCATTTGCAATTAAGTTTTATAAGTCTGTTACAAAATTCTAATAACAGTTTTCAATACTTTATCCAAACACAATTCAAATTTTATTTCTAATAATTATAATTTACGTACTTCATATTTTAAGTTTAAATCACTCTAATTTAAAAATCACCACAATTCAAATTGTTGAACCAAACACAATCAAAAGATTAGTTGCATTCATGATTAGTGAATATGATGTATAGTAGAACAAACATATGTTTTTTTACCTTCTTTTTTCTTATTCAAATAGGATTTTTTTACTAAGTAAAATTATCTAAAACACCTCATTTATTTACTCAAAACACTACTTTTGCTCTATTATTATCGAAATACATTAAAAATCCCATGTGTTTCATCAACATACCTTGTTTATTCTTTGTATTTTTCAAAAATTATCTAAAAATAACTCTTTAACCCACGTTCGACTAATCAAATTTAAAATACCCAAATTACTCTCAATAATCTATTTATAAGAAAATAACAATAAAACCTCGTGCGTTCAGTCAAAATACCAATTTTATCGCTCTTATTATACAAATGCCTAAAATATCATTTATATTTGTAGAATTAGACAAAAATACTAGCATTACTCTTCTAAATCTACATTAGTATCATTTACATACAAATTACCTAAAATATTAAATGAAATAAATCTTAAAACTTTCAAAATAATTAAAAAAAAAAGGAACAAGAATCAATAGCAAAACATAGCTTTGGGTGAGCTCGTCTTTTTAAATCGTTGTTAGAGTTTTTTAAGTTTTAAGATTTATTTCAGTTAATACTTAGTTCATCATATTAAAAAAAATCTTAGTTCATTAGTATTTAAAATAGTATATAATATAGATTGAGAAGGAATTTTGAAAATTTTGATCGTTAACAAGTATGTTGTAATTAATTTTACAAAAAAAAAAAAAAAAAAAAAAAAAGACGCAAGAGACGCTTTAAGTATTTTTATGAGAAGAGGTATAAAAGTGATATTTTGGTTAAGTACACGGGGTGTTTTAGGGCTTTAATACTGCAAATTATAGATTATAATGAGGGTAGATTATATGGCCCCGATCACTTCACCGATTCGAGTTTAGAATTTGAGTTTTGTTATAGTAAAAAGTTCTCAAAAATAGTCACATTTAACTTTTTTGTTACAGTAAAAAGCTCTCACATAAAATCACATCTCAACTCAAATTACAAACTCGAATCAGCGAAGTGAATGGGCTCATTTTTAAAATTTTTATCGGTCAAACATTTAGATAAGGGGCTTTTTTAGACCATTTTAAAAAACATATCGAAAGACGTGATGTTTTTAAAATAATACAGGGAATGTTTTAGGCAATTTGATAATAAGAGAAGCAAAAATAACATTTAAAATAAATTAAAAGGATATTTTTAGTATTTTTTTTTCTTTTACTAATTAGAATTAAGTATCTAAAACTTTCAGTTCAATCAAAATTTGCAATGAATATAAAACTTTGGCATGAGATAATATGACAATATGTTATTGTCAGATTAGACAAAATACTGTTTTTATACAAGATAGCTTTCTGTGAGATTGATAGTGGGACAAATGAGTGAGAATGCTTCTATTTTTAGGACTGCACGCCATTTATATATCTTTCTTTTCTGTCCAAGTATGACTCGTGTTAGACTGAGACAAAGATGAGGCGTTTAGTTAGTGGATCGGGTCATGGCTTGAATTATAATTCGTAATTCGTTATATTATTATTATTTTTTTTATAAAAAATACACATAAATCAAAAATAGTTATGAATCATGATTCTGAATTTATGAACATAAATATGAAAATTGAAAAGTGATTTTTTTTTATTTTTTATTTTTACTTGTTGAGGGAACTCGATCCTACATCCACTCCATCTGTTTTTCTAGAAATACTACCAAATAATAAAAATAAAAAATAAAAATAATAAAAAAACAATAACAATCACCACAACGTACAAATTTACATTTAAAAAAAAAAAAAACAGAGAAAAATGATGACCCTCACAAACAATCACAGACTATTCTCCCACTCTCAATTTCCTCAATACACCCATAATCTTCCTAAATATTCACTAACTCACACAAAAATATTTAACTAGAGGTAAAAAAAAAAATATATATATATATATATATATATATATATACACACATATATATACATACTTGTAGTACTGCTGATTGGCTCTGCCAAAAGCCTATCAATACGCGAGTTTCATCAATCTTTATTTATTTTTGAGATACATTAAATGAATAAATAGATAAATAAGATGACATACATGATAAAGTAGTTTCCTATTTTCAATATGTTAACATATAACATATAATATTTTATTTACGATTACATATATTACATATAACATGTAATATGTAATCGAGATGGACACACCAAAACCCACATCGAGTTATAATTGAAACTCGTTTAGGTCAAGCTTGTCCAATCCCATTCAAAAGCGGGTCCCGTATGAGTAAAAATAGGTTCTTGCGTACCATTACTTGTTATTTGAAGAGAGAATGTTTTTGTTGTAATCTGATTCAAAGTTCAAACACACTACCGTTTTTTTTTTTTTTTTTTTTCCCCTATGTTGATATGCTAATAACATCTAGGGTATGTGTGCTTTAGCGTACGTATGTTTGGTAGGAGGGACAGATGGAGGAAGGAAGAGAGGTGAAAAGATATTCTTTTTATTTGGACTGGACCTACCATTTTACATCTCTTTTCTAATAGAAGAATTCATACAATCTTCTCATTAAATATTAGAAAAAAGACTATTTTATCCGTAAAAATTTAGTATAAAATTGGTTAAAAAAGACAAAAAAATAATTAAACAAACATTCATTCATCTATGGGCGCATTTAGAACTCGTTCCAAAATAATTTTATTTTTTTGTATGAAAATGAAAATAAAAACGTTGTCAATCTCAGACATAAATCATTTTTAAAAATGCGTTTGGTAGGTTTATCAAGAGATTATTTTCATTGTAAAAACACCCAATAATGTCTCTCTTTCTCTCTCTCTGTTCGAGAGAGAAGAAAGCGAAAATAAAAAAT